GTTACTTGGCTACAACCAGACGACAACGTTGTCGTTGACCGAGGTTTTAGAGATGTCCTACCAGTTCTCGAAGCCTTTGGCCTCAATGCTAGCATGCCGTCATACCTGAAACCCGGTCAAAGTCAACATTCTGACGTCCAAGCAAATCTTGACAGAACTATCACCAAATCGAGGTGGATTGTGGAATCCTATCATGGTCGTCTGAAACACTGGACGTTCTTCCGAACGCAATTGGTGTCTAACAGCTTTATCAATGTCATTGAGGCTTTGCTTCGAACCGTCACAGCCTGTCTGAATGGTATTAGAGGACCGATCTACCAGAGATCTCCAGAGAGAGATGCCAAAGATAGGCTAATGGCTGAACGTATGAAGGACCGTTTGACAACACCGAATGGTTTAGCTCAGAGAGTCAAGATAGATCCGGATCTATCTAGACGGGCAAGGTCCGAGTTTGTCAAGATGGATGCATCTTCCGTACTGTTTCCCCGTCTCAATCTTGATTACTTGAGAACCATTACGTGTGGAACGTATCAGATATCTCTGGCTCCTGGTTACATCGCCGAACATTTAAGTGATGACGGAGACTATGAGGTGTGGCTTTACCAGCACTCCCCGACCTTCTCCGATATCAAATACATTCTCGACACAAAAGTCAAACGAAATATAACTTTTGGATACGGTTCACCGTTTCACCCGATGTTGAGGCCCCAATAAAGGACTACTACTGCCAGTGCTCAGTTGGAGAGAGAACTATGGGAATGTGTGCGCACATCTCCAGTATCTTGTACTACCTTGGGTATTACAGGACGCTGGAAAACCCTCGACCATTACAACCACAGGTAAAGAAATTCCGACAAAACTTGAAATAGTTTTCCATGCGGCAACGGAGTGTATATGTCGAAAGTATGTTTGGGGCTCGATATGAAAGATCCCCGTCACCATGTGACTAACCAAACTTATAAATATAGGTATTATACAATCGCCCGTAGCTATGAACACTCCCGTAAATGCGAAAACCAACCAAAATCATAAGGAACACGTTTTGTTTGTTGTTCTGTATATTTGTCAGCCAATGTCTTCAACCACGGGGACTTGTGAAGCAGCCATCTTGGATTTTTTTATGAAAAAGTGTTTCTCTCTCCTTTTTTTATATCTGTGTACACATTCTCAACATACCGAGCAAATACTCTCGTTTTTTGTTAATTATCTAAAGAAAGTCGAAAATCGGCAATTCAACCATAGGCTAATTCAACCCAACATTTGAAAATGTTCCACCACTGACATTTTGATGATTTTTCCTCTCATCAATAGCATATCACGTACTATTTAATAAGATAAAAATTGGTTTGCATCCAACGCCCATAAAAGGGTGTATTCTCTAAAAAACAATTCAATTATTGACTTGAATTAGTTTCAAAGACTGGAAGAGTTTCCTCCCTTCATTCATTATTCTTTATTTGCTTCCTTTTTTATCTATCGCTTTAGGACGCTAGTGGAGGAACGGGTATGGACTATTGTTTTGGTATATATAAGTGCAACTTGCTGACCTGCAATATAAGTTTTAGTTTTCCTCAGTATTTTGTAAGTAGAAAAAGTACAAAATAACAAAACAAGGTGATAAACTTTTCCTTTTCTCGCGGGAGTGATAATGGTGTATTTTTTCTCTCACAGTTACCTCCCTTATGAGAACGAACCACAAATGTTGTTATGGAGTTACCTTTATTCAACTTTCATTTGATTACGTTGATTTACGACTACATGTATTGCTATCAGGATGGACTTTTTATTTATTTTGTTTTTTTTTTTACGTTCGAACGGAGTTTACTTACGTATATATATTTGTTCTTGATATACTTTGCTTTTTGTTGCATAGTCATGGTCAATCGTCTTTTAGACGACCGTGCAGTATCTCGTGAGGAAATTCTATATTACCAATGAGTTAATCAATAATTAGATAAAACATTACGTCAGTGTACAATGACGCATTTCTACGGCCCTGTCGCCAATATCCTGCCTTTCCTAGGTCGATGGAGGAGATCAACATCTGAGTTCGGACTATATATACAAAGATATATACAGATAATGAGTACTATCAATATATCGACAACAAAGGTCAGAGGTCAATATTGATATCACCCCATGCTTTATTTTGCACATGTACATATGATATGGACACAAAATCGAAATTACTTTAATCACACAACAGTATGGATTTTAAATCGTCTGCTTTATTAGTAAATCGTATAAATAATAAAAAAAGTATTTCATCTTTATCTGTATTTAAGGATTGTCTATTATGTTGCTTGCGTGGACTGATAACGGGACAAGCCTCAATAAAATGAAGAGCACTGCCAACAGTTATTAACCAGTTAATACAGTCCTTATATTCACAATAGTCGTTTTAACAAGCATATCACTTTCAGTTGATCCCATGGTACAATATGGTGTCACTTTGTGACATTGTTACAATTACCGGACATGTGTACACCCAAACGGAATAGCATTCATTACCACGCAACAAATATATAGTTCCAAAACCTCATTTAATCAGTATACTGCTGATATGCTAGTTTCGAAAATTTTAAAATTTGACTTTCATTTTCAATGAACGAGGAACAATTTTTTTCATCATTAAAATTGGAATTAAAAATACATTGATGAAAGTAAAATGAAACAATGACCTCATTTTGAAATGTAAGGCTTTAGTGAGAGTAGAAACGCAACTTAGAGTGCGTCACATTGCATTGTGAAAGCACTTTCATGGCATCGGGTAGAACATCTACATGATAAGTTTGTAGAACATCATGATATTTATAATAAAAGATGTTACAATAGTAGAAACTAATACCTAATACCTAATAAAGATATACAACAAAGGAATGACGAAGAGAAATTAAACCAGCATCTAAATTATAATTATATCAATCATAATTGTAAACTGTTATATGCATCACTGTCTTCCTAGTCAGCATGTAAAATTTCTAATTCATTAGATATTTACCATATTTAACTCATATATCAGTACACAAGTGTGTGTATACGTCTTCTGTTACACAGAAGTAAAACAATAGTTATATATTTCAACTTCCTTAATATAAATTACATATCTTTACACAATTATACACGTTCTCAAGTACACTATTATTTTCTCTGAAGTAAATATATATATACATAATTGTACCATGTTTAATAATAAGTCTACGAGGGATTAAAGGGAGATAATTACATTATCTGACCCTCGTTTGGGGTTTTTGTGGTCAATTATTCACATTGAGTAACGTCTAGGCAAGTTTATAATAATATAATTGCATGTTACTGTTCAAAATATTCAAAAGGATAATGAACGGAAAATTACAAACATTAATGATATAAAACCTAACTAGTCTAAAACTTCAGCATGATTATATATTTAAAAATTCATTGATATCATTGAAATAAATTATAAATAACTATTTGAACTAATATGGAAACATATATATCCAGACATTTGGAAAGTTCGTTTTGCAGTATTCAGTGGTATCAAAACTTTGGTATAAAGCGAGTGATTCAAATTTACACAAAAACTTAATAATTGTTAAATTATTGTACAATGCGAGACAATATGTTAACAAATACAAACTCTTACATAAGACAAAACATAGGATTTATGTGGCATGGAAACGAATTAAGTCTGTCTATCCATATCAGGAATATTTTGTAAAAACACAGAGCAAAGTACCAATAATTTCGAAACATCAATTGTGTTTTCAAATTAGCACTCTCCTTCCTTATATTAGCTGAGAAATGGTTGAATCCCCGCTGCAAAGGAAGTAAATTTCAGACCATGGAGACCGGGGATGAATTGATGATTGGCACATTTTCGAACCGTCTTTATTTCATAGTCATAATCCGCACGAACTCTGGAATGGAATGCGAAAAAGTTTACAAGATTAAGAAAACTGGTATCAGTATCTAATAAAACAATAGAAATTGGAAACACTGATGAAAATTACAGCGCCCAGAATACAATTAAAATATGGAAATTTCTAGCAAAAAAGGAAAAAAAGTCTCCCTGAGTCAATAAAAAGGACTATATAGGGTCTTTCCTTGGATTGGTGACCACTAACATATTGTTGTGTGCTGCGTAAGCGTTCAAATGCCAGCAGGGATAAGTAAAAGTAAAATGTGCATAAACAAAAACAATATCGGAACAACTTGACGGAATCATTATTCAACACAATGACAACGACAAATGAACAAAGCGTTAATTTTACACGGAGACCTTTAAACAAGAACAATGAGATAAGGTTTTCATGCAAGGGTAGACGTGTTCTGTTTCAACCTTAACCCCACCACCATGTAAATGTGAACCACCAGATATGTTGATGACATCATTAAAACGATAATATGACTTCCCCATGATCTTCATCAACCTGCATCTCTCGCAAGCATTTGCTGTGAATTTGTCGGCCAGATGCCGATCACTTGCACGAAGATCGTGATAATGGACACCGTAAGTTAGGTATGTTGCTATCCAGAAATGCAAAATTCACCTCAGAGAAAATAATACTATCACGACTGTCATACTGCTCGGTGGAAATTTCGTCCGGCCTGTTAGTTTCGTTGTACGAAAAGATTGAAGCAAGGAGAATGAGCGTTGTCGTGCTCTATATTTTCAATTATGGTAGATATATATCATAAACACGGTCAATGAAGATCCTGACAAAACGTCATCAATATTATCGCCCGTTGGAAAGACAGAAATTTAAAAAAGATTTTTTTATCAAAATGTACTATCCTGATTATGGAGGTAGAAATCTTTATCTACATAGCAGATATGGCAGAAACACTGATGCTATAGAACATATTTCAATCAATTTGAAGACATATAAAATGTACAATTTGGTATTATCGTTTACTCAAAACGTTACACTCCTTATCGAATCTAATGATTAATCTAGACCTGAAGAATCAGCTGAAAAGCGGCTTTATCACTACACAAAATAACATACATTACACACCTTTGAAATCCACACGACCATCGCCATTTACATCGGCTTCCTTCATCAGAAACTTAACATCCTCGTCACTAAGCTTCTCTCCCAGTTTATTCATCACGTGACGTAATGATGACGCGCTGATGTAGCCATCACCGTCTACGTCGAACACCTCAAATGCACACCTTAACTCTGCTTCTTCTTTCCAGTCTTCCGTCGGTTTCATCATCCTTAGGAAGTCTGTGTAATTTATTTTCCCTTGACCTTGATCAAGAAAAATATTCACGTATTGCATATACAACATATTAAACACAGCAAAATTTTCCAAAAACCTACTAAACATTAAAGCGAAATTACTAAGCATATATCAAATGTAGGTCACTCTGACCTACATTTTAACCTTTGACCTATATAGAAGAAAGCTTTTGTCCGAGCTCTATGTTCTACACTTCTTGTCACACTAGCAGTGTGTCGTGTTTCAAACGTAGGTCACTCCCACCTATATTTTTACCTTTGACCTACATCAAAGAAACATTTTCCCACACTACCGGTCACTATGATTCCATACTTATAGAACGGTGTCACCGTTGTAAGGCGGTGTGTCTGTAGGTGACCGTGATTCGCAAAATAGCCTTCTTTATCATTATGATTATGAAATTACAAAATAAAAACCAATATGAATGTGAAATTGAGGGGATGTGACAGGTTTCACATCAGACATTTGACGCGGGGATTTACTGATCATAATTGGTCGTCTATCATGACGATATCAATGATGGCGATATATTGTCATAAAAGAAACATCTACCGACTTTGTAAACGTAGCCAAATGTACACAACACGATGAAACATGAAAACAAAGTACCATGATGATAGAGTATTTGTTTATGCCTTACTATGTTTAAACAACTGTAGGCTCCCAATATTTACAGAACAGCCTTAAGTCGTACGAGTGTATCCTATTACTCTATTCCAATGCTAATAAATCATATGTGATGGTGATCGTCTTTAAATATATATGATGTATACAGACACACAGCCCAATGATCTGTTTTGAACAAGCAGTATTACGAACTCCATGGAAAATTGCGAAAACGAAGTAGTATAGATTTGTTATGAAACATATACAAAAAGTTGTTATTAGAAATCATTACATTTATGTTAATGTAAAACCCATTATGACGTTTTCCATAATGCATATAGGTTTTGTTTACATAGCTTTTACAAAGCAACAGAACGATCACCATAAGCAAACTTTCGTGATGATAATAAGTGCACTATTTCTATGTACTGTAAATCATTAATTTTTGTGGGCGGAGGGGGCGTTTCTGTTAATTTCGTTGATACTCTAAAGAAAAGAATTTATTTGTCCGCACTAAAATTAGTGTACGTAGATTTATTGAGCTATGTTTATTTATGAAATCAAGTGTTCGTGATAGACTCATTCTTTGACAAAAATTGAGGACCACGAAAACATATGATTTTTACAGTATACAAACTGTTCAAGTTTAATCCCTTCTTGTATTTACGGACACTTTGCCCGATCAATACACGCGTGTCTGTTCTTTTGCAAGATAAAAAGTGATTCCATTATCAATTAGAATATAAATTTTACCTGTCACAAATGTTCTGATATTGACAAACAAACCTATGTTATTCCGATTTTCTGAGCTCACGGAAATCCCTTTCATTTCAGATACTCTATCCTCAAGTACTTTAAAGTCGTAATTTATTACTCTGAACCGTGTATCGATAAGCCGTGTCCTTGAATACGATTTACGACTCAGTAAAACGTCTGTTTATCTGATCTCAAATATCACTTAGCAAATACATGAATAAGACACTTTTTCTTCCCTATACCACGTACTCTAGCTTACCTCATGGTAGGGTTTCCATGATGGAGTTTTATTTTAAAAAATGGTAAAGAAATGTGCAGTAGTTACCACTTAGCGTTGATCAAGTACTGTAGTTCATAAAAATAATGTTTAATTTTCATCAGGTGCTGTAGTGTACTGGATATATCTTATAAAGTGAACACGTATTTACAAACCGGCAAACACGATTCATGTAATGAAAGTAAGATATTAAAAATAAGATATGCTCTTGAATTTTAAAGGAAAAATAAATATTTGGCAGAGAAAAAACTATTTCAAATTAAATAAATGCTTACTCTTTACGAAAAGCGAGCATTTTTATTTCTGAAATACAAGAGTATATGAGATAGATTTCTATCTATATTTTTGTCTTTTTATATTTTACTATAGATATTCATAATGATTAAAACCACACTCAACTTATTTACTTTCTAACATGTTATTTAAATTGTTCTAATAGATTTACGCTTCATAGTGATCTCATTAAAAAAAGGCCACACCCTAGTAAATGGCATGAATTAATACAAAATAAATTGTTAGACATTGGCCAGACCATGAATGCATCACACAACTCTTTCACCATTCTAGGATTTGTCAGTTATGTTCAGAGACTTGGTTGTTGAAACCTAGGAGACGACAGATAGAACCATCAAATGTGGTCGAAATGAATGTCAAAATCAGATTGAAAGGAAACCTTACCCAAACATTCACTAACTTTTATACATTTCAACATTGACTGATTTGAAAGAACATCAGGTGTATCTGTATATATATTTTTTCGTGCTACAAATCGAATTAATTAAACATGGCAAAACATTTGCCTACCTGACGTATCCACCTCGTTCACCATATCATCAAGCTCCTGGTCCGTTGGATTGTGTCCAAGAGTCCTCATTAGTGTTCCCAGTTCCTTTGTGGAAATAATGCCATCGTTGTCTCGATCAAACAGACTGAACGCCTCCTGGTACTCTTCATAATAATGTTTAGACATTTCTGTTCGTAAAAAAGTCTAAAATCTTTCTAATGGTTCTCGGTGATAAGCTACACGTTTCATACAAACTTATTGCCACTTTCGTTAGTAATCCAAAACGCGAGAAATTCTATGGAGATGTCATATACCTGAATCTATCATTTAAAACCTCTAAAGTGTGTATATTAGACCACATAGAATTGGAAAATCACCATTAGTTCACCAGTCATACAGAATATAAATTGGCGACAAGATTTATGTCGTAAGATCATTCGTTTTAACTAATGATCACAGGCTTTATATTTAACCTGAATCTCATCAGAATGGATTTATACTCTCCATTTGTGTATTTAAAGCAACGCTTTCCACCAATACCCTATGGCATAAAGGCATCATAGTGCATATTGTATCGGTTTTGTCCAGTTTCTATAATATAGAAATATATACCTTGTACAGATTTAAAATTAATTACCTTCCTTAAAGTCCATGGTGGGCACGGCTTAGGATTATTTTTCTTATCACTTCACACAGTGACGGAACACATACAACCATACAAATGGAATAATTTTCAGGTTCAAATTTAAAATTCAATTACTTTTTATACATCCTTCCGTCTGATCGGATCCGTATAGATCCCACTCCTCTGTCATGCTATGATAATGTTTTGTAGGTTCGGAATGCAAGAGTTTCAAGAGTTGTTGAGACGTTCCTTGTATCCGGGAATACCAAACGCTTTCCTATACGTCGTCTCGACTACTTGGGAAACGTGTAAGAGCTCTGAACTTTCATATTGAACGCACTGTCAGCTTAACCATATCATTTGCAAACATTCCAATAATGTTTTTCTTCTACTATAAATACATGTCAAAATCAATTATGAATTGATTATTAAATATTTTCTTATGTCCAAGTAAATTACCTCCTTTTTATGTTTTTATTTAGATACAATATAAATACAGAGGATGAATATCAATGTTTTATTTGCATGTGAAAGTTGACAATGCTTTGAACATCAGTTTTGCGTCTGTGGTTTTCGTTTGCTAGTCGTTGTTGTAAACTAAGAGTATGTGTACATTAGAAATAATCTGTCGTGAGGAGGAAGTGCGATTGGTTATAATAAGCCAAATTTGCTTGATATATCAACATGTTTCTTTCTGTTAAAAGCCTACATTCATTGTACATTTGTTTAAAAGCAAGTAATTGGTGTATTTAGATAGATCTGATGGTGATTGCATGTTTGAAAGTCCGGTCTGTTGACATGTTCATGTGTATCGAATGTCACGTAAGTGAACTATCTCCTAACGTTATTGGCGAACGCAACCTTGTCTCGAATTGTAAACACAAAATGCGAAGGTAAATATTGTCTAAGGTGACTGCAATATACATTTTTCGGTGGCTTTTAAAAAATATGATTGGATTCATAAATGGAACAAGGTATTACAGCTGAAAGGTTTTCACTGTCGACGTCTCTCTAGCATGGCTATGATAACTAGAATATTAATTTTGGTGCTTTGTCCATGAAACCATTGTTTGCGTACTTATTTATGTCAATATATTTGAACAATGAATTTACTTTGTCATTACATTTCAGAATACATAAACATTTATGTAGATTGAATTAATCCGTTAGTTTGTAAACATTGACAAACATCACAACATCGACGGAGACCATTGAAATAATACAAGTGGCCCGTACTAATATATACACAGTACAGCCGTAAAAGCACTTAGATATGATAACAAAGATTTTATGTTTGATAGCTCGCATTATCGTAATCGCGTATGTTCGTGGTAGGTTTAGGGTCAGAGCTATACATAAAGTCATTCTAAAGTTTGAATTGCTTCCATTTTATATATAAATAACTCGGGTCTTCACCTGATGTAACGTAGAAGAACGTTCTATTTACTGAAGAATCACAGCCATTAAATGTTAATATAATTTCTTTGCCAGTATCAACCTCTTTTAAAGACACATTCATACTGAATACTAAGGTTGCAGTGACAACAATACAATTTAAGAACAAAATTGAAAGAAAATAAATCACAACAGATTCGTACGCTTGTAAACATTCGGATCTTTTTACGATACCGCCTCTCCCAATAAAATACACAGTGGCAGGTCAGGCCGGTTGTGAATCGTGTTGATGAAATTATCTCCTCTTCTTCATTACACCATACCAAGAATATCTATTTCTCGGCCATCATTTTGACGAATTCTGTAAAATATAACAATGTCTTATTCAAATTTAGGGCGAAAGTATTTTCACGCTATATGCATCATGCAAACAACAGTTATGGATGTCATATATAATTGGTTTATTAAAAAAAATGTTTAAAAAATGACATTATCAACATTTTTTAATGCGGTCTTATGACAATTGTAACTACGTATGTACGTATATGACACATCAAGAAAATACCAACATGGCAACATGGTCCGAACTCAAATCTTATCGAGTTAAGGCAAAACATGAACAAAAGAATGATTTACATGGAGACTCCTAAATAACTACAAGGAGAATAAGACCAGATGTTCCGGGAGAGTAATCGTCTTCTGCTTCATCGACGACACCTGCCTTGTGAAACTTGATCAATCCAAGTAAGTAACGTCACGTGATAATGTGATAATGGGAACAGGCAATGGAATATTGGATAAATTGTGAGATGTAAATACCATAGGTTGCAGATGCAGGGATATTGCTATCCAGAAATGGAAAATTTACAATAGGGAAATTTAAGTCATCCTGTTTATCATACAGCTTGATGGAAACTGCCCATGTTGCTTCTATTGTAGGTAAAGATCGACATAAGCAGCTGATGTAGAAGAGTCTGTTCTATCTTTGATTTCCATTTCTGGTTGCTATATGCGATGTATGTAGTCAATACATTTCTTGTTAAGTATAGCCAAGTAGTCATCAATATATATGACAGTATATTGTGATATTAAATAAATAAGTTGAAAAAATAGATGCTCTAGGTGGCAGTAAATCTGCCCAAAGCAACGAAATCTTGCGTAAATAAAAATTATAAGTAAAAATATATCCATTGCTAAAAAAAATGTATGCAATATGCATTAAAATGAATAAATAATTAAGAACCCACCATCATAATTCACTTGACCATCGCCGTCCGTATCTGCTTCTTGTATCATTTCTTCGACCTCTTCCTCTGTTAGTTTCTCGCCGAAGCCTGTCATGAGCTGTCGCAGTTCCTCTGCACTTATGTATCCATTTCCATCCTGATCAAATATTCCAAAAGCCTGTTTAATTTCATCTTCTGTGTCAGTCTCGCTCCTGCTTGACAGCATCGTTAAAAACTCGTGGAACTCAATGGTGCCGTTGCCTGTTATTTGATAGAAAAACAGGAACAATTGACCCTGAACTGAATATACTGGATTATGTTGTATATGAGGTTGACGCAAAGCACATCCTAGATTAGAAATGGAAGCAATGTCGCGAAAGGAAAAGTGTGGTTCATATGTTCATATTTGTTCACTAATGAATTATAATATCTTTACCAAACTACCGGAAAGCGAAATGGACACGGAATGTCTAATCCCAGTTGAAGCAATGACCTGCTTTGGTCCAGCATCCATCCATGTCATTTTTTAAAGCTGACAATTGTGCTGGAACGGTAGAACCAGGAAATGTTTGGCAGGATTAAAGTTTCATTCGGGATGGTTTTTAATATGTACATACAGATTATTACTAAGGAAAACATGACATCGTAACAGCAAGACAATAGTACCAGCATGGTAAAGAAATCCACATCATTACACCTTAATAGCAACGTCATGTGTCTTAAACACACCTAGGATCACAATTTTTTTATTTTAAGTTACCGTCTACGTCCATTTTGCCCATCATGTTAAGAAGTTCCTGTTCTGTTGCGTTCTGTCCAAGTGACTTCATCACTGCCCCTAACTCGTTTGCTGTAATGACGCCATTCCCGTCCCGGTCAAACAAGTTGAAAGCGTCTCTGCACTCTAGAGTTTAAAGTGAATTGGGTTATATGATTTATTAAAAAATAAGTTGAGATGTAATGTGCGTTTAAAATAACAATAAGTTACCATCCAATGGCTATAGATAGGAATAACCTGATCTATGGTCATGAAATATCAAATCTCTCTTGGTTTCGTAATAAACATAAACAGTAATCAAATATATATGTCTAAATATGTTTTTAAATAAATCAAACTGAATATTATTACAGACAAACCTCGTTATCTTGAACTAATTAACCGTTAATTCGAATTATTTCGTCAGTCCCGGCTAAATGTTACAATAAACATTCAAAATCATTTAAATCGAATCCTCCGATAACTCAAAGTTTCCCACAGAACTGCTGATTTCAAAATAGTGAGGTTCAATTGTACGTTATCGTTCATCAAGATAAATCATCACGCTTCACACGCAATTCACGCAAGTCGTTAATTACTAAAAATTAATTAAATAAATTAAGAAATACCATGATTTATATGCTAAGAAAATATAAATGTAGAATTAAATTATTTCCATATACATACTTCAAATTAACATAAATGCGATACATTTTAAGCCATTAAAACAGTTTTGACTGTAGAATCTAAGCTTTCAATATATATAAGAGAGGAAAACTGGAAACAATATTCCTCAAAAGTCAAACGCAGAGAGAGAAGATAACAAACCATAATGATAATTAAAAAGGATTTTACGGAAGATTTATCAGGATAGGAAATTACGAACTAACGAAGATAATAGTAGCGTGAACATGAAATCCAAACAACAGATAACAGATTAAAGAAACAAGTGAAATAGACACCAACAGGTGGGTAAACACATATACAATATGAGAAAGAACAAAACAATTTAAACTGAAGGTATCAGGAACGAGAAATTGAAATAATGGGAAAAGACATATGTATGCACATCAAAGTATAGGATAACGATTAAAAATATCGAGAAAAAAACAAAAGCAAAAAAATAAATGAATACAAAAAACAAAAAATTCCACAAAAACAAAATCAAAGAAATAGAAAAGGGAAAATAGAAAGTAAAATACAAGACGACGCGTACAGAAAAATATAAGAAATATGACAAGGACGTCAAGGGGAGGATTGTAACAGGATCCGTAAGGAATGAAAGTAGTCAATCAATGAAATATAAAAAAGCAAAAACTAATGAGTCAATTTGTGTTAGACATATCTATATGCGTAATTTACAAACCTCAGTTCACGGAGGTAAAGCGATTATTATAAATATACATATAATGTTTATGAAACATATTATAAATGTACATATTATGTTTGTGAAGCATATAAGAAAAATACTGTTAGCCGTAAAGCAGCGCCAATCACATACCCGTTAATTCGTCCTGTGGCATCCATTTGTGCATCCTTGACTGAAGAAAACAATTTTAATGTTTACTTTACAATAATTCCACGATGTACTTTTTCATATTACTTTCCTTATGAATTAAACAATGAAAACGTCAAAAAGTGAACGTTGATTAAGAAACTGCCAGAAGTGGAAGGGAATAAACAGATCAAATTAACAAGAGGTCGTATCTCATCAACAGACATGATACATTGTCATCATATAGCTGTCGACAATACCAAAATACACATTTTATTCTGCTGGATAAATTATTAGTGTAACTTATTTGAAAATGGCTAAATCGGCAAGATAGTTTTTGTAATGGCCAAAGAAAACAATCTGGAGAAAATGTTTCAGATAATTGTCAGTAAGATCATGACTAGAGGCAGGTGTTTCATACTTACCTTATCTTTTAAAATAAATTAAAGTCATAGATGAAAGAGACTAGTGCTAGAAGATAACAAATTGACAACAATTTACTTACCATTATGTACCGTCAACTTTCCAAGTCTATGTCTCGCTCATCGACTGACACCAGTGTATAATCTTACTTGTAATTTGTCTAATTAATTCCATCAATGTCGTAAATATTCAGAAAAGACTATTTTATCTTATAATCGTAATGAAAAGAAACACATATCCGTCATGAATCTTTACGCCCCACGAACTAGTCGCAATATTCTAGCTGCCGTGAGCTTTAGTTGCACCCTTTGTCGTCTATTCTGGTCACAAATTAATTTGTGTTTGTATGAAACTCTACAAAGATTGACTAATTTTCAATAAATCAAAATCTAAAAATGTGACTTGATATGTAAACATCTTATTTTGTTCTTAAATATCAATTTATTGCCTTGTCAAGATGTTGATTGCTCTCTAGCGTGATGGAATAACACTATCTTTATATTGGTCATGGTTCAAAGAAATTTTATTGATCAAACAAAACCAAATATGTTACAGAGCAGAGCGTTTTTGGAGCATCATATATTGATGGAGCGCACAATTTGAATACATTTTTGAATCGTTCAGGTTAGATATTATCATAAACCAGATTGACACAATTTGTTCAGTCATGTAGGTCTCATTTGAACAAACATAATTATGTTTTTTAAAAACGTAGCAGGTCCGGAAAACACTCAGTTGGGTTCAATTACATGTTTGACAAGCCTTTAAATGAAACGTAAGACAAACATTGAAAATTTTGTATAATTTATTACATTCATAGAGAAATGTGTTGTAAATTCGATGAAAACGTCACATTACACTGATTGCAAAAACACTCGCAGCTCAACAACATGGGGCTTGAAAAACGTAAGACTGTTTTGATTTTTTTTAATAATCCTATTTCTTTATTTGCAACTAAATGCATGTTTAAATCAAATCAGAAAAGGCTAATTTCTAAGTGTAAAATGATGCAAATAATATTGATGTGATGATATATCACTCTGATCTTATAGAAAGAATGACATAACGGCTGATTATATCTTAAACATCCATATGATAAACTATATTGATTTGTTAATTTTGTGTGCAGGGTAGAAAAGAGCATGTTAAATAAACAATAATAAGAATATAATTGTGATGTCATCATACTTTGGGCTCTAGTTGTGCTGTATAGATATTTACACGGTTCGGAATATGTCTAGTTAATTGATATCATTAAGAAATTATTCAATGTTGAAAATTAAAAAAATTATTTATGGGATAATGCACTTCGCCATATGGTTTAAGATAATCATTTTGAGCAGTTTTGATTTCAGTTACCATCTGAGTTTGCAAACTTTTGGCACCTAGCATCACTTACCAGTCCGAGTATCATTCTTTATAATTCTTTCTAATTTATTTATTTAGTGTAATACTCATCATATATTTCATCTCATTGCATGCGTTTCTTGAACCTAAAATTGAAAAACAGATATCGGAAAAAACATTTTTACATTTAAAAGCTAAAGGGAGTTAACTCTATTTGTCGATTTTGCTTTTAAGATCTGTGGCCGCATTATCAATTGTCAATTAATATAAATTATTACAGCATGGCTTCTTTTGATTATCTTAAATGCTACTAGTATTACGATCAAAATGTGAAATCAACGCTTCTTTTTTCATTCTTAACATACCATTATGATTTTTCATTACTTATCTAAGCTGCTATACCTTTCATTCGGTTGCTCATTAATATTGGTAAGATAAGGTTATTAAGACACCAGGAATGTTAATGAAGTCTCATTGCTGTTTAGAATATAACCATTTATATATACATAAACAATAAACATGAAATTGGTAGCTAAACTGAGAAAACAAATGTGTAAAGTCCTTTTGTAGGTGTAGATTTTATATTCTTGGTGTCAACAATTATTCACATTGTGCCGTCGCTACCAAATGGCTACTCTGTCCAACTCCTTCGGACGACTGTAATAAATAAATTAATAAGAAATGGATATTATATGAGAAATATAAAGGTATCAAAAACACATCAACATATTTATTTGTGTTCTTAAAATCAATGTTTTCTATGGATGTAATAAGTTTATATATGTGATAGCGCTTTCTGTTTGATTGCAGTTTCAATGTCATTATCAATCGTCTTTAAATCAGACTTTGAATCCTCATCAAATATTCTGACATTGAAATTTATCGCCATTGTATATTCTCATTTTGAAAGAAGTGTCAAACATTATATGTAAAATATGAAATTTAAACATCAGTTATTAAACATCAATGATAAAGAAGACTTTATTTATCTGATATTGATTTATCCTGTAAGTTCTAATTCCAAATCATCCATAGATACTTACTAAGTGATATATGAGTAAGTAGAATAAAGACAGGTGACAATACGTACAGTCGAAAGTATTCCCAAAACAATAGCGTAATGCAAACTTTGACGTCATATTTTCGCATGCAAATATTTTTTTCTAGCATACGTTTATCAGATACAATATTTGATCAAATATATTAAAGTCCATTCACTCCGTCCTTTTAATATACACACACATATATATATGTGTGTGTATTTCTGTTTTTGATTTTGCAGGAAGACGTTTGATTATATGAATTTATGTAAATAAAAAAATATGTATACATTGTTATGATATACCAAAATGAACTCGGGTGGAAAATTCGGGGAAATGAGATTTTATTGATATGTGGAATGCATTTTGAAAAACAGTCATTGATTAAAATTTGCGAAAACTTCTTTAGTCTATACTTGTGTATGCGGTGAATATACATACCGTCATCATCTGTACAAATTCTGAAAACAAAATTAATTCAGTAAACATAATATTGATTCAATTTTTAAAACATTATCAAAATGAAACAGATTTTAATTGATATATACCTATAGTTTGGTTATACATGTCCACATTTATATATAAACTTTATTTGAATGTGAAAATTGAAAGGAAAAATATTTTAACAGTTTTGAATTTGAGTTGTTCTTTTATCATTATCAACTTACACAAATACATATTGCCTTCATATATGAGGGAAGTTTAGGTTTGACGTTTAATGCGGATGGACACCTGTGTTATTTGAAATGTGATCAGTGGTGTATATATTGACGATCAGGTACCAAATCAGTGTTATAATATTGAGCAATAAAATCCAGAAATGAAATAAAGTACTTTTAGGCATAAAGATACTTTTTGTCAGAATAATTAATAATTAAACTCTTTAATGCAGACAGTAAGGATCTTACAAGCAATGCTTATATTATACCATTTCCAAATAGTTACTTTAGGATATTAATATCCGAAAACACCTACCATCATGATTAACTTGTCCAAGACCATACAATTTTAAACATAATATATCAATAGCATATAAAATTATCACAATTGATAAGATAGATATATAAATATTAACTATTTCTCCTGGTAGGTAAGACGCACCTTCGTAATTAACTTGCCCATCACCATCGATGTCAGCCTCTCGGATCATTTCATCCACTTCCTCATCTGTTAGTTTTTCTCCTAGATTTGTCATAACGTGTCGTAATTCAGCTGCACTGATAAAGCCATTTCCATCTTTATCAAATACACTGAATGCCTCACGGATTTCTTCTTCACTGTCAGTATCCTTCATTTTCCGTGCCATCATTGTCAGGAATTCTGGGAAGTCTATCGTGCCATTTCCTTTAAAATTGAAATATTTTTATTGTGGTAGGTCAATTATTTTGCTCACCTGCTATCAAGGTTATTTGAGGATAAATGCAGTATTGATTTCTTTACCTTTTTTCTACACTTAGTATTTGTAAGTAGATATTCTTAAACACATGTTGAAATGTTAGAAAATCGTGAGGTCTATTGATGGTACTTAATAAAACTGAAAGATAATAAACTAGCAAGAACGGGATCAATACATGTTTGCTTAAAATGTACGTACACTGTATACGCCTTTACAAAGGACTGATGGTCTATTGTCACGAATGTGTCTGAGAGATCACAATTGTACACCAATTCTATTTCTGTGTTAAGACATTAACTGTTTATAAAGTTTAACAAATGTTTCAGACTTTATTACAGCAAGATAACGTTACCATCCGCGTCAACCTCGCTAATCATGTCTTGTAACTCGGCTTCTGTCGGGTTTTGACCGAGTGACCTCATCACTGTCCCCAGCTCTTTGGTTGTTATCGTTCCATCGTTATCTTTGTCGAACAGGCTGAACGCCTCTTTAAATTCTGCTCATTAAGAATGTGGAATTAAGAGGCACATGATAATTCATACCAGTGATTTTATACATATTGTAAATATATCGATATAGTGAATGAAGTGTCCCGTTAAAACTATTGAGAGTAATAGTTACATACCCGTACTACATGTTGAATGCTTTATAGCAGAGTTGCTGCCCTTTGACTTACATGATTTACATACAAGTGAAAACACCGTGGAAATATATTTTATACCATTATCAAAAGGTAAAAGAAAACAAGAAAAATTAAGCGAACACATAAAAGTAAACAAACCTGCAATATGTTCTTCACTTAGTTGTTCTGCCTGTAAAAGACACGATGTGGAAAACAGTTCACTTTTTGTAAATAGTCATCCTAATCTACAACACTCTGCAACACGTTGCATTATTATGATAATATTACAGTATCATAATCAGTCATACGTTTCATGGTTTTGTACATTTACCTACAAAAGAGCCAGGTGGAATAAGTATACATACACTGTGTACTATTTATGTAGAGAAAAGGTTTGGTAACTACTGATGTAGACTGCGTTGATTGTTTTGAACAGATCAAGAAATTTAAGCTAACTACAAAAGACAACACAGCAATGATGTTAGTAAATGTCATATAAACCGAAGGTTGAAGGTTTAAGTATGAAAGTCCTGCCCTCTACATGGTACCAATCGAGATTTTGCAGATTTAATTTGATATAATGGGAAATCTAGAAACAGGCAATGGATATATGTTTCTTTGATATCGAGCACCAATATATAATTGATTTTCAGAGAGCGCAACATTATGTCATGCACACTTCTAAACCGATTTATATAATTCCATGACAAATATTCCTTTAGTCGAGTTGTGTAAATAAGTTATCACCACAACGACACCTACACTTTTACACTTACTCTCGCACAGAGGACGTCGTAGTTTAGCTATTAAACACTGTTCTCAACTCTTACTGTATTTTTGCTGATAAAGACGATGAAAAGTTTAAATAAAGATGAAATAATGAAATCATGTCGCAAAAATAATCGATAATTTAGCTTTAGATAATTTACTAATTTTAAACTTGGTATGTTTGACCTCTTGTGTCACTGAACATTCCTAGAATGACGAACCGTTGTCTTTGTATTGTGTAATTAATCAGCCCTGTCTACAATGTATATATCAAAAATTGTCATGTTACATGTGTGTCCCATCGTAAGTTTGTAGGATTTTTTTAGATATTGAAATATAAAAAGTCGGCAATATGTATATCATAATCACCATGTTACATTTATTATATACAACCTCAGTGATACGAATTACACTTACATGAGTGGTCAGTAATACACGTGTTTGGTATGTCATCACAGAATCCGCCTCTAGTGAATTAATCATTGGTTTTAAGTATATGTCAGTAGAGTAACATATCTTGTAACGATTGTCATTGGTTGTACCATTGACCGTGATGTCCTAATATGGACAATGCATTACTCATGAAGTAAAAATGGCGAAACAATACGTTTGATTTTGTCCTCCATATTTTTACTTAAAGTCAATCACAATGCACCTTTTCTGAGTTTCTGAGTTCGATATAAGGAGTTTAAAATTTGTATTTTTTCATTAGAAATTAAATGAAACTCGTCTCATAGTTTTAATGTTTGCTCGCCAACGTTTACAAAAGTTAACCTTCTAAGACACGTTTTTAAAATTCTCATATAAAATGAAAACTCATTTTAGATTCTATGTATGATTAAATCGATCAGCTTAAATCGGGCATCAATTTATTATTGTGGTTATGGGGCGTTTTTGCACCGGTTACCTTCCTTTCAATTGTCAACAACCCCGCCATTGTGTTGTCCATCATTCAAAGTTTGAGTGACACTCATTGTGTTTTACGTACATAAATAGTAAGTTCAAACCATAATAAAAGTGTCTTCTTACAAACCATACATATTATACACATAGTTGTGAACTTCCTATATCACATACAAGGTTTCCGCCGGAAACATCATAAATGACTTTCTCCCGAAGATATTTAAATTAAACCGTAACTGACATACGATTTATCTATATCAATGGACAATCGATATATGAATATGTTTTAAACATGTTTTATTAACCTGGAAACAAAATATATATAATACTGTAATCTTTTATCTTTAAGTATCCGAACTGAATTATGGAAATTAAGCCAATGAATATTCGCTACGTTCTGGTACAATAGACAATAGCTTGCGACCCATACAAATCTTTAGTATAGATTTATGCTCCTTTCGTCACTGTTATGATACGATGTGACTTATCGTTTCCAGATTCCAGAATGTATAATTAACCTATCGATCACATTTACCTCCACGTTCAGTTTTAATATGTGAAAATGTGTAAAACAAAATTATGCAAACTACGAATAGGTGCAAAATGTGTACCTGGCATCACACTGATGTACACAGTATATGCCATGATTTGGTATATGATTAAATCATCTTCTTTCTAAAAGATGAAAACAATTTCTTTTTCCGCTTGGTTGCAGACAACATGGCGAAACTACACATACACGATATACATTGGTGTTAATATCAGGAACCATTATTTTTTTTTAAATATTCCTACCCAACTTCTCTAGCCAAAGTAACTTTCAAATATGTAGAAATATAAACAGCTAACACATAAGAGGGAATATAGGCTGATAATGAAACAAACTTACCATCCTGTATATATATCGGTGTTGTCGGGCTGGGTCAGCGAGCGAAGGGATGCTAACGACTATAGACAACTGGTGAGAATATTTACATATAGTCAGTGGTCCGTAACGCTCGTCTCGTTAGGTGGATATATACACTTTGAAGTGTGAGTATTAATTAATAGCATATAATGATGTAGACATTTGTTTTTGTTGAGGAATAGTATCAACAGTATGTTTCTTCAAAGCCCGTCAGATTGTTTTGATAAACTAAGCTGAAATGTTATGTATCGAGGACGTAAGCTGACAACAAGTCAACAAAACATCGTATACTACTAGTTATTTTAACATGTCAAATTTGATATCAACACATTAGAGAAAAAATATATATATATATTCTTAAGTATTTTTCTTGATTTACAGATATTGGCGAACGGTCTCTGATACTTATGCAATAAACACGAATTATATTGGGAAGTGATTTTTTTAATATTTAGTGATAAATGCATTACTAAGCATGAATTTAACAAGACTGTATCCAAACCTCATTTTTACCCATAAACACATTTCCCTATCCCTTCTGCAACACATCCAGTGTATAGAATCCCTATATGAGCAAATAAATTGATCTACTTGAAAACGTCTAGAGGCGTGCCACCAAAAAGATACCTGGTTTCAAAAACATGACATATACAGAGCGCCTGCAGAGACTAAATTTACCAACCCTGAAGCACCGTCGCATGCGAGGAGACCTAATTAACGTGTTCAGGTTTGTAAAAACCTTTTATGATCCTAGACTGACTAGGAATATGTTTCAACGCGGTATGAATAGTAGAACGAGAGAGCATTCGCGTAAACTTTTTCATAAACACTCTCACCTTGATATAGGGAAGCATTTCTTTACTTTCCGTGCTATGATGGAACAGTCTCCCTCGAGATGTAATAGATTCATATGATGTCACAAAGTTTGAAATCAGTCTAGATAAATACTGTAACCGTAATAACATAACTTTCATTTTTTAGTTTAAATTTTGCTCATTGATACAGGAAGTATCCTAAACATGTAATGAGATGTATGAACTGATATGGATATAGAGACCAATGGCCTGCGTCCATAACATATCCTATTAAATCCTATTAAATCGCTTTTCGCAAATGTGATTCAAATCCTAAACTATACAGCGTGTGCGTTTAAAGAAAAAAATATATATAAAAAAAAACATAATTACATACTGTTAAATGACATTATCATTTAAGACGTAGATTTAAATACATTTTCTCTTATAGAAAAAAAACTTATTTCTCGACTCCTTATAGAATTGAGGCTTATGTAACTTTTCATTTTAATATCGAATGTGTTTTACCATCAGTCAACTGTCAACACTGACAGTTGATGTCATGAAATAAGACAGGTTGTAATTGAATTGTAATACGATATATATTTGGTTAATAAAGATGGTAAAACAGTGTAGTGGCTTTGGAGATATTTGTAGGTGTAGTAATTTTGGAGATATTTGTAGGTGTAGTAGTTTTGGAGATATTTGTAGGTGTAGTGGTTTTGGAGATATTTGTAGGTGTAGTGGTTTTGGAGATATTTGTAGGTGTAGTGGTTTTGGAGATATTTGTAGGTGTAGTGGTTTTGGAGATATTTGTAGGTGTAGTGGTTTTGGAGATATTTGTAGGTGTAGTAGTTTTGGAGATATTTGTAGGTGTAGTAGTTTTGGAGATATTTGTAGGTGTAGTAGTTTTGGAGATATTTGTAGATGTAGTAGTTTTAGAGATATTTGTACGTGTAGTAGTTTTGGAGATATTTGTAGGTGTAGTAGTTTTGGAGATATTTGTAGGTGTAGTAGTTTTGGAGATATTTGTAGATGTAGTAGTTTTAGAGATATTTGTAGGTGTAGTGGTTTTGGAGATATTTGTAGATGTAGTAGTTTTGGAGATATTTGTAGGTGTAGTAGTTTTGGAGATATTTGTAGGTGTAGTCGTTTTGGAGATATGTGTAGGTGTAGTAGTTTTGGAGATATTTGTAGATGCAGTAGTTTTGGAGATATTTGTAGGTGTAGTAGTTTTAGAGATATTTGTACGTGTAGTAGGTTTGGAGATATTTGTAGGTGTAGTAGTTTTGGAGATATTTGTAGGTGTAGTAGTTTTGGAGATATTTGTAGGTGTAGTAGTTTTGGAGATATTTGTAGGTGTAGTAATTTTGGAGATATTTGTAGGTGTAGTAGTTTTGGAGATATTTGTAGGTGTAGTAGTTTTGGAGATATTTGTAGATGCAGTAGTTTTAGAGATATTTGTACGTGTAGTAGGTTTGGAGATATTTGTAGATGTAGTAGTTTTGGAGATATTTGTAGGTGTAGTAGTTTTGGAGATATTTGTAGGTGTAGTAGTTTTGGAGATATTTGTAGGTGTAGTAGTTTTGGAGATATTTGTATGTGTAGTAATTTTGGAGATATTTGTAGGTGTAGTAGTTTTGGAGATATTTGTACGTGTAGTAGTTTTGGAGATATTTGTAGGTGTAGTAATTTTGGAGATATTTGTAGGTGTAGTAGTTTTGGAGATATTTGTAGATGTAGTAGTTTTAGAGATATTTGTAGGTGTAGATGTAGTAGTTTTGGAGATATTTGTAGGTGTAGTAGTTTTGGAGATATTTGTAGATGTAGTAGTTTTGGAGATATTTGTAGGTGTAGTAGTTTTGGAGATATTTGTAGGTGTAGTCGTTTTGGAGATATTTGTAGATGTAGTAGTTTTGGAGATATTTGTAGGTGTAGTAGTTTTGGAGATATTTGTAGATGCAGTAGTTTTGGAGATATTTGTACGTGTAGTAGGTTTGGAGATATTTGTAGATGTAGTAGTTTTCGAGATATTTGTAGGTGTAGTAGTTTTGGAGATATTTGTACGTGTAGTGGTTTTGGAGATATTTGTAGATGTAGTAGTTTCACTTGCTAATGACATGACCAAAATAGGAATGTCAAGAACGTTAGGGCAAACTTAATGTCACGTGATGAAACGTCAAACAATATTTATCTAAATTTAAGGATTGTTTCTTATTTTCTGTAGCTTCATCGAATTGTATTTACATTGGGGTAAGTACATATTTAACTTGGTGCGCGTTAAATATGTACTTACCCCAATGTAAATACAATGCGATGCAGCTCCAGAAAATAAGAAACAATCCTTATATTTATACTTTGTCACTTTGAAATTATTTTTTTTAAATCACCTTATACACATTGTTCGAACAGCCGGCCGCTTTATAGAACAGCAAAGTAAATCCAAAAACACTAGGTGGCGCTGCCGTTGACAAGTACAGTAAACAAAATAGTTCTCAAAGATAAGAGTACAATCAACATATTTTATGATATTTATTTAAATATTTAGACATCTTTTAGTTTTAATAATTAATAGTTCATCATTTACACAATATTCCTCTATCATAGTACACAAATTCATTATTTAACACCGCGCATGTATATATCTATAAATACGTGATGAGGCAGCCCGATCAGCTGATCGAAAGAGCGGGAAAACGATGAACATGACACGCCATTTTCTCCACGTTGATAATGCTAGTGTATTTTGTTGAATGTAAACGTGCATCCATGGAAGGATGAGTTAGATAGAAAGCCTGATGACATGTTTGACTGAAAGGCTGCAGCAGAACAATCCATACTGAGGTTAGGTTGTGTATTTTCTGAGGGCATCGGTGGATTGACATTTTTCTTTACTTTTCCGAACGACATAAACTATAATCTCGTTTTGTAGCGTTCGCAACTTGGACAAGTAGTTCTTACATTTTATTTGATATCTATGCGCAAGCCTAATCACCGTACGTAAATATAAAAAATTATTAACATTAGGTTGGGCTTACTTCATCTAGAGAGAATACAACGCAAGTGTAAATATTCAGGAATACATAAACTCCTTACATATTGATTTAGAATGTTTGTATTCGAAATAGGAATTACGATGTACGGATAAAGATAAAAAATAGCGTAGAAGCCAAAGCCGTGTGTATGTGATTCATTCAACAAACAGCCAAAGTGACTAGGCATAAAACCATTTATTCAAATATATTGGAAATCTAGAAGGAATATTTATCCTACCTACTGAAAAGTAGTTTCGACTTTTAACGCAATTTCACCAAACAAATGAACTGTAGATATAGCGTCAACTCCATCAGACAATATGTATATACCTACTCTGTATACAGCCAGGTCGTGACTATGAAGTAGGCATATTGATCTACACACATATACAGGCATATCTCGTAAGTTACCGATCAATATCTCTCACGCATAAAGTCATTATCAGGAACGTTGTCAAAAATAATTTGAATAAAGCACAGAATATATAGATTTAAACATTTTAATTTCATTTATCTGTCATACAGGTGTATCGATAAATCTATTTATTAATGTACTGTATTAGATCAACAATGTGTTATAAACTGTTATTTCTAATCATTTTATTTTTAGTATAGTAAAAATCGTGCATACATTGACGAATAGGTACTCTTGAGTATATTTTGGTAGAATGCGTCAAACAAAGCCATATCAAAATTACAAAAAATAAATCGAAATCAAAAGAAAACATAATACACTCATTGCACAAAGTTCTTACATCCACATTCAAGAAGAAAATGCCGACATGAACATTATCTACAAACATTAACTAGAAGTGTTATTTGCTTAACCAAACAATGCTTTTGATAAAAATTACACAATAATGATTACTCCATAATTATAACTATAATAATACTTTCAAAACATTTATGGAATTCATGTGAACAAAAGTCCTGTTTGGAGTTGTTGAAGATCCATGGGTACTTTAATGCTAACATCTACGAGCAGAATCACCCATTAGTAAAGTAATATCAATATGGTCGTAGCTGTTCAAATTTGATTAAGAATAAACATTACAATATATATATATATATATGATCCATAAAGTAAAAGCAATATTACGGACAAGAAAATTCTCAAATTTTCGCGGCAACCTGCCCTTTTATCAAGACACAAATATTCACATCCATAGAATATAAAACAAATACAAAGTTATAAATCTAAATCGAGAGCGGTGGTGTAAATTTAGGTGTCTCGATAATCGGCCGATGGACGCCGTAGGCCCCTTATAGCGGACAAAAAACAATCCGGAGTAGTTGTATGAAAGATGCTGATTAAAATATCAAAAATGTTTTACATAAATCTAGGTATATTTTGCACTCTAGACACTCAGCGTATATATATATTCTAGTGTTAATTATAAATATAAAATCTCATGTGAAAAAATACAAAATTGTCGCATTTTTAAAGAAACTGTTAAAAGATATAGTACGAATGATTAATTCATTTGAGCAATGTTTACAAATTACTTTGCATATGCACATATCTCATCGGCGTCAGGACAATTACTGATCAAAAGTAAAAAAAGTAAAGAAATATTTGAGGATTCTGGAATTTTTCACGATTTGAACAAATCTATGACCAATATTAAGTTGATCTGATGCATCAGGTGAGTTGGCAATACTGATATCGTATCTCGACCTCGTTTAACTCAATGACCCCGTTTAATTAGAAATGTTTCGTCAGCCCCGGAAAAACTTTTCATCAACATTCAATCTCACTTATAATCGAATACTCGGATGACTCGAAGTTTTCCGAAAGTTCGACTGTATACATGTCAGTTTCGCGCTACTTTGTATCAATACATAGTATAAGGCAAGACCGAAAAGATATAACAAGATATGACGTCATCAAGATTGATCAATGACTTCATGGTGTCAAAGTTATTAGCATCAATTACAAAATGGCTAAATATGAAGTGAATTATGATTGGCAAAGTAATATCGATGTGTTTAGTATGGTAAGTGTAATTATCCATGTCTTAATGTATTCATAAAAAACAGTCATTTGTGAAAATATTTATGGGCTGTAAAACATGAAATATTTGTTATAATATAAAAACAAATTTACTAATCAGCGATACTTTTTAAACGTTATTGTTTCAATGTTCACAAACTGTATTACTCCAGATGTTTCACTATGTGGATTCAGCGACAGCATATATTCCTTGTATTTATGACGTCACTATGTATCGCACTTGTACAACAGACATGTGAAAAAGAATATCTATAAATCTATAGTGCTTCACAGAAGTTTGTCATAAGAATAATTGATTACATAGGATATTTATGAAATCAGAGAATGTCAATTTCTTGTCTTTATTTCAGTAAGGCATTATACATTTCCGATCGACTACCAACTTACAGAACAGAATTGGATATTTTTGCATCTTTTTACCATTTTGTTAGATGGATATTGGGTAATAGTTATCTTTTTGTATCCTTTTAAAGCGTTCCAGCAATCGAGTCACATTCGTTTGGGACAATATATATTAATATATATTCATAATTATTACAAGACAAATATAATAAATAAAAATACATTCAAGTTGTAACATAACCTATCATGCGTTTCTCTGCGGCAATAATGACGTGTGTGTATGTATATATATATAAATTTTATAAACAACGAACAAATAAATAAATTAATTAATTAATGTAAAACAAAATAAATTCTAAGACACAATTTTGAGTCAGTCAATAAAAACCACTTCAGTCAAATTTACTTTACAGAAATTTCGATGAATCTTCTTTATGATTTAGAAAAGAACATCCAAACTATGTTCAGTCCAAAAGTTAATCAGATGAATTAAAAGTTGATGGATTTTGACTAATGATTGTTTCAGATCATATCACGCACTATGTTAACTGTAAGAACGAAAAAAAAACCCAAAAAATGCAAAACTTATTAATTCCTATTTCGTCAAAACTGATGCAGACTTACACTTAATTAAGATGTAGGGTACTTGGAAGTATTGAATATTTTTTCTCAAAATGCAATAATAATGATGACAACCACTGGAACATTGAGACAGATATATATATAACATGAGATTCTGTAAAACACCTACACATCTACACGTAGCACTAGTAAAAGGTACAGATCTTTGTGCGTTTATGTCGCATTGACTGTCTGTACGTTATATGCATATATTTAGCAGATAAAAATAAATATGATCTTTTTGTGTGATTTGCACCAGATTTAGTCACAGAGTTACAGAAGAATCCAATACAAATGAGGAAAGACATACTTGTGTCCTGGAGGACTTCTAGGAGTATAACATACATGGAATAAACCGCGAAAACCTGTCCAACTCATATCCTATTGATAGATCAGATATATAAAAGTATATCAAATTGTATCTTGCAGACGTTCATAACATACATATTACTCATACATATACACAAACCTCTCAGATTGGTTGAACATAGTATTTTCAGAAAGTAATACGTTGATGTTTAGGCTATCTATATACGTTCTTCAGTTGAACTACACTTTTAGTAATAAAATTGTAATATAAAATATACCGCTTGAAAAAAGACTCATGTTAAGTTTTGCTTGTACACAAGAATTAAATCCAGTACACAAGCCGTTGAACTCCAGAGCAGAAGAAAAATAGGTCAGTGCACTACGATGTTAACTCCAGTACATTACAATGTTAACTCCAGTACATTACGATGTAAACTCCAGTACACTACGATGTTAACTCCAGTACATTACGATGTTAACTCCAGTACATTACGATGTTAACTCCAGTACATTACAATTTTAACTCCAGTACATTACGATGTTAACTCCAGTACATTACAATGTTAACTCCAGTACATTACGATGTTAACTCCAGTACATTACAATGTTAACTCCAGTACATTACGATGTTAACTCCAGTACATTACAATGTTAACTCCAGTACATTACAATGTTAACTCCAGTACATTACAATGTTAACTCCAATGCACTACGATGTTAACTCCAGTGCACTACAACGTAAACTCCAGTGTACTGATGTTCACTTATCCCGTACACACTCTAGAGTACTAGACTGCCAACCGTTCTCAGAAGATTCTAGGGAGTCATGTGCTAAAAGTTTCGAGTAATGTTTTCCAACAAAAACATTGATTGTCCTGATCTTGATACTTACGATAATGTCCTTTTCCAATCATTTAATGTTGCAGTTATTTAAGGGAAAATGTTCATTCCGTTTCTGAAGTTAGTCTTGGTAGAGTTGTTTAAGGGTTGTCACAAGTACAGGGCAGACATCTATCACGCAAATAGCTTCACAAATTCTGCATGAAAAACATATGAAAAAATTGCAAATAGTCTTTTCACTCGGCAATAAGAAGTTCAGGGCGTATAACAAAACTTAATGATAAATCCACATCTATTTGAGGTCTTGTAATTCAGTACTTCATAATTCTCTATAAAATTCTGAAATCTTGTGGAATTATGCTATTCACAATCGTATTTCTCGAGTAACCCTTTGAAACTGAAGATGAAGTATTCCGTCGGTGACTTTTCATACCTATGGTTTGCTGTAGCTTGCAGGATACGTTTTAATTAATTTCAATAGTGACAGTATTCGGGATATACACATGTATTGAAAATGACATTACTTAGTTGGATTGACCATGATTTGAAAACCGGATGTCGTAAAATAAGCAGAAGACACTTACTCTTCCGAAACACTTGGTCTTATTCTCCTGGTTCTTCTTTCAGAAGTATCCGTATGAATTTCTCTTTTGTTCAGATTTTGTCTTAGTTTGGATTTCAATCATATTTACATGTTTGTATTTTTTTCATCTTGTTCCGGTAATGAAAATTATTACATGAATTGAAATAAGGATTTAACAGCCTCTCCTTATTCTTTCATATATTGCGACTAATTATAGATTTCTCCGCTCGCTCCCTGTATTGTTACTTTGTGTCTTCTTTACGGTCCGTTGAAACATTTTCTCAATACCACAACCAAATGATAAAACTTTATTTATTTTACAACAATTGCGAAACAAGTTATTGCAACTTATAAGTATCACTCTTCTTGGGCCGGATGTAACCGCATAAGGGATTTTAATCGTCGAGTACCCGGAGAACACACACCTGGTTACCCTCTACTAGAAATACTAGAATTATTCTTTAATGTAAAAGATTGAAATATATCCCATTTTCATCTCCAAAATAACTACAATGTCTTTTGAAATAATATATTTATTTCGCGCATCTAGCTTATAATTTTGATACATTATTACGTGACTGCAGCACAAGTGAACATATATAAATATAAGACGAGCGAGAAAATTGAAAACCTGTATTACTGAAAAAAGTGTTCAAAAGTTTGTGTATTACATTATCATCTTATATATATGACGAGATGTCGATAAGATTATAGTGAAAACAGGTGGAATCGATACACATTTGGTTCATGCAGTTCTTGGTGTTACATGGCTTTCATTTCCTTAGAAAGCTTATTTGTAATTGGTAAACTTTACTTACCGTTGTAGTCAATATTATCGTCTTTATTTGTGTCAGCGATCGCCATCATTTCATCGACTTCCTCGTCCGTCAGTGTCTCCCCACAACCCTGAATCACTTTCCGTAACTCCTTTGCACAGATAAAACCGTTCTTATTTTTGTCAAAGATTCCAAACGCATCTTTCAATTCAGCCTCTCTGTCAGCTTTCGTTTGGTTACGTTGGTGTTTTTTTATAAGCGAAACAAATTCATCTAAGGTCAGCTTACCGTTTTCTGTTTAAAAAATGAAAGTTATTTTGACATGCTGGTATTCTATATATCGATTTACATGAATTGGTATTTCACCTTCTAGCTATTATGATATTGCAGTAAATCTGTGTTACCACTGAAAATACACCCCTTTGTGAAGACCAAAATAACTTCATATTATGATATACTTAAACTGAACTAATGTTCCATTTCCGTAACTCAAACATTCTTGTAGCTGGTATCTTACACAGTAAAACAAAGGCACTGCTTGATGTATGGTTATTGTTTGGAAAGTATAACCTCGTCACCGTTTTTCCCTACACACTGATTGGTCAAACATCTTTCAGAGGTCTAATTATGTTGAAGAGACAGTAAGAATCCATTCACGTGAGGTGAATATTGTAACAATTGAAACAACAATTAGTAACCTGTGCTTCAATTTTTAATCAATCAGAAACACGGATTAGTGTGATATCATAAAACAATTATTGTCCTGTTATGACGTGAATATGAGGATTTGTTAACCTTCAAAGATGATATTTGGACCCAGTATTGACTGTTTGATGGTAATATTTATATAGAGTTTACTTACTGTCTTTATCCACGTCACTGATCATGTCTTTGATATCTTCTTTGGTAGGATTTCGTCCCAGGGCCTGACACACATCACCAAACTCATTTAAAGTTATGGTCCCATCTCTGTTCTTGTCAAAATGATCGAAGGCTAAACGTAGCACTTTAAAATATAAAACAAAAACATAAATCTTTATTAAACCAAAATTAAGTGTTTATACAAATATACATCTTGGAAATGAGTTTTGTGACGGTAGATAATGAAAATATAGTACATTCTCTTATAAACGTTGGGTTTCATTTTCGTGAAATGGGCAAAAAAAAATAGTCTCCTCTCAGCAAGTGATATAAATAAGTCATTTCGAACAATGTGTAAATGAAATCCATTTTTTTTCTGCAACTTTTAAAATTTTTATTTAGTCACATATATCTATATTCGACTAATGTCTGTCGATATCAGTTTCACTATACTTACTCGCTAGTTCTTCTTCAATTTCCTCCTGCTGTGAATTTATAAGACAAAAGTATTAAATCCAGCTTATGCTGGGAAATTGGAAGACATGTCATTCATTTCTAATATTGCAAGTAGCACTGGAATGAGTTGATTGTACGGTGATGTTCAATGCAAAATACCAGTCATTTACATAAATTTCAATTCATCATTATATATTTAAATACTTGTATAAATACTGATTTGCTATCACGTTAAATACATGTAGAAATAAAATATTTTGTCCTATTGCAAAAATGTATTTTCTTAGCATAGCGTAAACAATGTTTACATTTATATCTATATCATACAAATGTACATCGATTTATATTTTATATTAACGCTATATTAGTTAGTAGTCTGATTACCACGATACACCTATTGATTATCAATTATAAAAAATATATAGATCTTTACAACATCAGACACTATGCAGTGATAAGTATACATAATCCTTACATATATATATGTTACCTGAAATTTCATTCAAATGAGATCAATAAAAGATTAAGAAATCTTGTCCCTTATTTCGATGTCTATTTTTAGCCCTCATAGCTTATTTCTTAGGGACGTTTAAATCACCTGTGTTGACTGTATGGAATGGAAGTGCCAGTCTAAACATGAATCGTCGTGTAAGGCGGCATTCAAAAATCCATTATTATAAATTAAATGACAGGAACATGTGTGTGGTTTATGTACAGGTATAACAACACTAAACAAACAACGTATAGAAATAAGAATAGCTAACCAATGTTCGATTATTGAGTTATTGATACTTACGTAACTTGCTATATATAAATATATATATATATATATCAATAATTTATGTGTATATTCCTCGATGTACACTGATCACCTGTATATTGATTTTGGTGTTATATGGAATATTTTCAGTTAAGAAGGCGAAGGTAGGGGGTGATAAATAACACACCGTACATGTAATATTAAATCAATATGATAAATATGATAATGATCTAAGTAAATTTTGTATATTCAAAATTCATTTCATAAACTGAAATTTATTCAATGGAAATCAATTTCTGAGTTGTCATATTTTTCCTTATGTATGCATATAGAATATTTATTTACGAATAAGGAACCTGTTGTATTATATTCTGTACATTTAGAATGTGAAAACGGTAATACACAGAAATTTAATAATATTAAACTATATTCGTGTCTCAAAATGACAATACACGAAATATCCTTCCTCGCTTTGTGTCAGTTTTACACAATACTGGGGAGATATCGAATGTACATGAAAATGGCGTCTTTGTGTAATATAGTGTTTACAAAACGAAATACAAATGCTTTATACTCTTACTTACCATTTTGGCATTTTTCTCCATACTGTCTGTTTCAGATTCCACACAAATCCGTAACCTCTCTATATTATATAAAATAAGTTAATTGATACACAGCCGTGTATACCCACAGTTCCAACAAATGGTCGGAATTTCCACAGGACCTTACTCCCGTGTAACCGTAAACTGTTGTCGCACTAATGTCAATGTTGATATGACCTTGACATCAAACAAGCCACCATTTTTAAAATACCAGGATGAAACCAGTCGAAATATCGATTGAAATCTACCTGTGTTCAAATTTGTTCAGTTTCGTCAGCTTAATGCTAAAACGAAAATAGATATTCAGGTAAAAGTAGAGCGAGTCTTTTTAGCATTTATTTAAATTTCCTTAAATATTTAATTCAAATACCACTTTTATAATAAAACCATGTTTCCATCCTTTTCAATAGTAAAGAAATTTGATAATTTATTTCCATGACAGGCGTGTCATAAACTGATCGTGCCTATTGGGGTGGAAAGTGCTATTTTATACTGATACGTATTGTTATAAGGTCATAAATAGTATTAATATGTCTGTCATAGCTACTAGAAGATATTTGTATAAAGAGTCACCACCAATTTGACAGTGACGATAATTATAGCTTTGCGTTAGAACATGTATTCAAAGCGTACGACTCATTACAAATGGAATTGTAATGAATTATTGAACGGTGATATTGCAGACCTCTGTGAGGTCTGCATTTCTTAAACAGTCGACCAGGAGTAAAACACGTGTCTCTGAATAGTGACGTCCTTTGTTCTGAAAGGATCCAACGCAAGGCAATGTCATTAATCCATTACCTTTAATCATATTTTATTTTTATTATTCGTCTTCTCTATAAATAATCTGGTGATGTGTTTTTATAGATATAAATGCGGTCTCTCCTTGAACTGAATATTTTCAGCTTAAAAAATGTGGCGTTATGTTTAGATCAATAAATCTGTAGGTAATCTATGTGTACCTGTTCAGTAAATGTGATTGATCATGAATAATCGAATAAACGACAACACGCAATTATTTCATTAAATAAATTGTATTGTATTTGTTGTATTGTGTTGTTATTGTGTTGTATTGTATTGTGTTGTATAGTGTTGTATTGTGCTGTGTTGTATAGTGTTGTATTGTGCTGTGTTGTATTGTGCTGTGTTGTATCTGTTGTATAGTGTTGTATTGTGCTGTGTTGTATTGTTTGTATTGTGCTGTGTTGTATTTGTTGTATTGTGTTGTATTGAATTGCGTTGTATTGTATTGTGTTGTATTGTGTTGTATTGTGCTGTGTTGTATTGTGCTGTGTTGTATTGTGCTGCGTTGTTTTGTGTTGTATTGTGCTGTGTTGTATTGTGCTGTGTTGTATTGTGTTGTATTGTGCTGTGTTGTATTGTGTTGTATTGTGCTGTGTTGTATTGTGCTGTGTTGCATTTTATTGTATTTGTTGTGTTGTATTTAATTGTATTGTATTGTGTTGTATTATGATGTATTGTATTGTGTTGTATTTGTCGTATTGTATTATATTGTGTTGTATTGCATTGTGTTGTGTTGTATTGTGTTGTATTGAACTGTGTTTCATGGTATTGTATTGTGTTGTATTGTGTTGTATTGTATTGTGTTGTATTTTGTTGTATTTTGTTGTATTGTGTTGTATTGTGTTGTATCGTGTTGTCATGCTTTTGTTGTATTGTATGGTATTGTATTGTATTGTGTTGTATTGCCGTTATGTTGTTTTATGTCATATTGTGTCCTGTTATCTTGGTGTATTGTAGTGAGTTGTGTTTTGTTGTGCATTATCGTGTTGTGTTTTATTGTTGTGTTGTTTGATGTTGTGTTGTGTTGCTTTAAATCATTGCTGTGTTGCGATGTGTTGTGTAAAATTGCTGTGTTGCGATGTGTTGTATTAAATTGCTATGTTGCGATAGGTTGTGTTAAATTGCTGTGTTGTGATGTGTTGTATTAAATTGCTATGTTGCGATATGTTGTGTTAAATTGCTGTGTTGCGATGTGTTGTGTAAAATTGCTGGTTTGCGATGTGTAGTGTTAAATTGCTGGTTTGCGATGTGTTGTGTTAAATTGCTGTGTTGCGATGTGTTGTGTTAAATTGCTGTGTTGCGATGTATTGTGTTAAATTGCTGTGTTGTGATGTATTTTGTTAAATTGCTGTGTTGTGATGTGTTGTGTTAAATTGCTGTGTTGCGTTGTGTTTTATTGCCGTATCGTGATGCAAAATGTTGTGTTGTGTTATTCTGCTGCGTTATATCGCTGTGTTGTGTTGTATTACTGTGTTGTATTGTATTGCTGTATTGTGTTGTATCGCTGTGTTGTGTTGTATTGCCTTGTTGTATTGTATCGCTGTGTTGTGGTGTATCGCTGTGTTGTGTTGTATTGTTGTGTTGTATTATATTGCTGTGTTGTGTTGTATCGCTGTGTTGTGTTGTATTGCTGTGTTGTATTGTATTGCTGTGTTGTGTTGTATCGCTGTGTTGTGTTGTATTGCTGTGTTGTATTGCTGTGTTGTGTTGTATTGCTGTGTTGTGTTGTATCGCTGTGTTGTGTTGTGTTGTATTGCTGTGTTGTATTGCTGTGTTGTATAATATTGCTGTGTTGTGTTGTATCGCTGTGTTGTGTTGTATTGCTGTGTTGTATTGTATTGCTGTGTTGTGTTGTATCGCTGTGTTGTGTTGTGTTGTATAGCTGTGTTGTATCGCTGTGTTGTGTTGTATCGCTGTGTTGTATTGTATCGCTGTGTTGTATTGTATTGCTGTGTTGTGTTGTATCGCTGTGTTGTGTTGTATTGCTGTGTTGTATTGTATTGCTGTATTGTGTTGTATTGCTGTGTTGTATTGCTGTGTTGTGTTGTATTGCTGTGTTGTGTTGTATCGCTTTGTTGTGTTGTATTGCTGTGTTGTATTGTATCGCTGTGTTGTGTTGTATTGCTGTGTTGTATTGTATTGTATTGCTGTGTTGTGTTGTATCGCTGTGTTGTATTGTATTGCTGTGTTGTGTTGTATCGCTGTGTTGTGTTGTATCGCTGTGTTGTGTTGTATTGCTGTGTTGTATTGTATTGCTGTGTTGTGTTGTATCGCTGTGTTGTGTTGTATTGCTGTGTTGTGTTGTATCGCCGTGTTGTATTGTATTGCTGTGTTGTATTGTATTGCTGTGTTGTGTTGTATCGCTGTGTTGTGTTGTATCGCTGTGTTGTGTTGTATTGCTGTGTTGTATTGTATCGCTGTATTGTGTTGTATCGCTGTGTTGTATTGTATTGCTGTGTTGTATTGTATTGCTGTATTGTGTTGTATTGCTGTGTTGTATTGCTGTGTTGTGTTGTATTGCTGTGTTGTGTTGTATCGCTGTGTTGTACTGTGTTGTGTTGTATTGCTGTGTTGTATGTGTTGCGTTATATTGTATGTTTTATAACTAATTATTAAGGATAGATATTATAAGATACCCAATCTCTGATCAAATAATATATAACATTATTTTATTACTCTTTGAAATTGGTCTCCTTCTTTTAATATCACTAACAAGAAAATCCATAAGCAAGTTTTATTTATTATGATATGTACTTACTTTGTATAACTTGTTAATATTTATGATAATACATATACATAAAGTATCTTAAATTGTTACGTAATAAACAAAAGACCATCCCGCACGAAATCTTGGAATGGTCGTCCGTTTGTCAGTATGTACGTGTATATCAACGAATATTTCGGAAGGTCATACTAGAGTTGTGTCCCTTGGTTCAACAGATTACAGTCATTACAAAACACAGATTCTATGCGTCGATTGTTAATCAACTACATGTATATGGACACTACACCTAGGTGTAACATGAAAATAAACAAATAAAAAAAATACAAGTGAAAATTCGTCATTTCCAAACATGGAAAATTTGTTGATAAAGCGTATGACCGAAGGCTATAGTGCACGATAAGTTCTGGATGAACTAGCTGGATTCAGAATCTCTTTCAGTAAGCACAAAAACTGTTAAATCTTGACTCTCTAGTAATGAAAACAAAACATTGATATGCCTGTCAGATATATACACTAGGCCAAAAGTTAGGGACCGCTCATGTCTTGGATTGAACTGGATTTTGTTTGCTGTACATGTATTCCAGAAACATATTCAATGACAACCCAACAGGATACATAGCAATGTTTTAAGACGTCTGACGAAACGATACACCGTCGATGGAAAAAGAAATTTAAAAAACAGGAAGTGCTGTATCATGTTTTGTTTTTGTTTTTTGTTGTTGGTTTTTGTTGTTTTTTTTTTTTTTTTTTTGGGAGGGGGGGGCGGGGTGGGGGGATGGGGGATAACACGTGCTTAATAACACATTTCCAAAGTCTACAAAACGTTTGATTTTAATATGTAAATTGATTATGAATATAAAAAAATATAAAAGTTTAATTGGGTAGCAAAAGGTCGATATCAGTAATAGCCACCATAAATCTGGTACAAGCTGCTGCTCCTGAATCAATGCAGCACTGAATTCCACAATTGTAGGGCATTTTGAATCCCGTACACTGACTTTTTGTCCGACGTAGTCCCACTCATGCTCAATAAGGTTCAAGTCCGGTGGCCCAGCACTTTCATCGCTTCTTGTTGAGGACGGCGTTGCGTTAGACGGGCTTTGCCTGCCAATGGACTAGCATCAAATTGCATAACACCTGAAGGTCGAAAGATCACATTACTACCGCCCAGTTAAATTTCTGTCATTGACAAGCATCCTGAAACTCTTACACTGCCATCACCAAATGTTAATGTGTCCAGGATGTGATTCTTATAAGTTTGCTTTGGTTTCCAAACATGGATTCTGGCGTCTGTCGGGCTAAGTGAAAAGCGGTTTTCATAAGACAAGCGGACACTTCGCCAAGACCTACTATTCCATGTCCGGCGATCGCATGCCCATTACAGACTTGCCCGGTCGTGCCTTCCAGTAACTAGGTGACGTTTTACTGGTTTAAGGGTCTGTTTACGCCGGTAATCGCGAAAATTGACATTCCACTGTCCTCTACGCCTGATAGCAGTGGTGAATGGGGCTCCACCTCTCTGTCTAAATGTAAGACTTTCTTCTCTGTTGGTCGTCTCTCGAGGTCTGACAGATCTGGGACCCTCGTCAACATACCCGGTATGGCTCAGATGCTGCATTAACCAAGAAATAACAGAATGGTCGACATGAAAGCTTGAGCCTTTGAACTAGACTATAACAAACGTTATGCCAGCGTGTACAATGTAGCATATCAAACTCATTTCAAGGGGTTGTACAAAACGACACAAGTGCATAACAAATTTTAACAAAAAATAAGACTTTGATGGAGAACTGACAAACAATGATTTAAATTTCTCTATACAGCTGTTTCGTCCTTGTAAGACTTGTCAACGACGCTGTTTGATCAAGGTGTTGTCACTTAGAAGGCCAACAAGACAAATTGATTTTGGCATCTAGATTTCATAATTCTTAAAGATCCCATTATTTTATAAAAACAGCATGTATATGTACACTATCGACATCCCCACTACCCGGTGACAGACTTGTCGCGTCTCTTTTCTGTTACCCACGTGTATAACTAAAAACGTGACATAAATGCTACGACGAACTTTGGGATCTAAACGTTCTCCTGCAGTGTCTATTACCTGCAATATCAAAGGACTGTATGTAAGACTGACAAGGTAATCTCATAACAGATTACATCTAATCAATTTCACAAGGAAGTGTATCGTGGTTGTATAATAATAAAATTCCTTTACTGCAATAGCACCCCATACTGTGAAAATATACCCGTAGTTCTGATGAGGCGTTTTCTGTTTAAATGTCCAATGAAATGCCATCTTTAGGGCATAGTTGTTGGTTTAAATGCATCATACTGAATCGCTATCTACAATATGAAACCTCACACTAACACAATATGTATAGTACTTTTCCAAATACAGATATAATAAAAAAAAAAGTTTATTACTTAAACAAATCTCAAATTAAATTTACAATTCAATAAAATGTCAAGTGCTGCCACGTGACCATGTAGTCACTAAGAAACTGACACACGAATCCGAAGTGTTGATCTTTTCATTGCCTCTGACGATTCGGTAAGATCATACGCCAGAGATTTCTTTTTAATCTGTTATACTCGGCCCTTTATGCTTTGATACTATTTACCGGAAATTTCGAGACGCGATGAATGAATATTTTATGAACTTAATTTGTGTCGTGTGAAAAGTTTCTGAAGAAAGACCTTTTGTAGAAATGCTAAACCTTTTAACCATATCATATGCATATCTATCGACTCCTACTGTGTATAGTGATCATCGAATATTGTGAATGGTGTGTCACGCTTTAGTAGGTCCACTCAAGAGCTAAGACGGTTCAGTCAATAGTTTATTTTATCATTCTCGTATCGAGATTATGATCTGAAACACTTCGGAGTATTTTTCCATAGGCGATATCTTAAAAACGCCCTGTTAGCAAACTTCAAATGAAATTCTTATGTGTGTGGCATCGATCAAGGGCTACAATTTTATAACCGCAATACTTTTAGTTCTGATATTTTTCCTCTATGTGGTATGACACAATAAGTATCTTGTGATATATATAGGAATGAGTTTGGGAAACAAATCTTGGAAATTCTATTATTTAAAAACATGGCGAGACGAGATCAGTTTAAAAAAAAATCTCAAATTGAAACAATAAAAAATTGATGTACATGCAAACATTGAAAAAAAATTAAAAATAGATCTTTATGTCAAAATATACAAGACAAATACAAATCGTTCTGCAATTTAAAATAATGACATTTTATGACATCACAAACTGACTGGCCCAGTCGATGCTAAATGCTGCAGATTATTATTGCACTACATATTTACCAGTCTAGATAAGAGACAGCTGTGAGTTATGATTTCCCAGATATAGTTAACAAATAGACACCTTGAAAATTGAAGAGAGGAAAAAAGTGTGACCCATTAAATGGCATCCGTTAAAGAAAAAAAAAAGTAAAAACATCATTCATTTTTGTCTGCACATTTCGGTAGAATCGGAAGAAACTGAACCATCGGGCAATTTACAGGTTTATTTTCAACCATTCGATTTCTGTACTGTGTGATAAGTTTCAAAATAAAACCAACGAAAAACGTGAAAACATTAACGTCATTTAATATAAATAATTGCTATTGATCAATATAGGCACATTAATATACAAAAATACCAATCTAATTGTTTGTCTTTCAAGAATGATTTCCCGAGGAAGACACACTATAGAATTTGACAATCACCGATGAGTACTTTGCTGAATTTTTCCGTCGACGGTGCAGTTCATAGCTTGATGGAAGCAGTGGGGGATCCGTGAACAGATAATGACAACGAAACATCAGATGAGTCGATGAGTGTAGAAAGAAGTTTTGTCTATTTCGATGTCATCATCTTCACGAATTCTGAAAGAAGAGAATACACAAAGTCATAAAAACTAGTTCTTGCGTGTACATGTAGGTTTCTTTGGCCACAGATATACTCTAGAAATTATGATTTAACGAGAATTGTGATACCTTTAAATCTTAAATGATCTCAAAATAAACTACTAATTTGACAGTACTGCACAAGAAAAAAATAATATAAGGTATGTAAAACATATTTTTAACAAATATTTTTCAGTGAACATAAATTGATAACTGATCGGTACAAGATGCACACCGTCGTAATTAACTTGTCCATCACCATCGATGTCAGCCTCTCGGATCATTTCATCCACTTCCTCATCTGTTAGTTTTTCTCCTAGATTTGTCATAACGTGTCGTAATTCAGCTGCACTGATAAAGCCATTTCCATCTTTATCAAATACACGGAATGCCTCACGGATTTCTTCTTCACTGTCAGTATCCTTCATTTTCCGTGCCATCATTGTCAGGAATTCTGGGAAGTCTATCGTGCCGTTTCCTTTTAACAACAAAATGTGGAATGTGATTGTGAATCCTTTTTCTTACATAAAGGTTGTCCCAATTCTATTTTCGAAAATGTTATCATTTGGTAACAACAGGGTACTTAAAAAGACTTTTATGATATCGTAGTTTGCTATACGAGAGGATGCATCCATTTCGGAAATATGTCTGGAATAATACGTCTTCAAAGAATATACTCAGTTTTTTCAGCATTGGGTATAAAGTTTTACCTGGTGTCGATGCCAACAGAAAGGTCCTGTCACAAGAAATACACATGACAAATATGTACGGTGCAATAGTTACGAGAAAAGTTAAATTTGACAACAAACAGCACAAAACCAGTATGTCTCCGATCTTTCGATCCGGGGGCATATATATTCATCTTTTTTAAACCCTACCATCAGCGTCCACCTCGTTAATCATGTCTTGTAACTCGGCTTCTGTCGGGTTCTGACCTAGTGACCTCATCACTGTCCCCAACTCTTTGGTTGTCACAGTACCGTCTCCATCTTTGTCGAACAAACTGAACGCTTCTTTGAATTCTAGAATGACATGAATGAATAATTCATAATAGTGGAGTGAAAATATTGAGTGTATGGATGCTTAGTGACTTGATACGATATTTAATATTATGCATGAGTGAACACTTAGACGCAGTGAGAAATAGAGCAGATAGGACCCCAACGGAAATAAGCGTATATTGTTACGCTTTTTGGGCTATCCTTGGATAGATTTGTTTAACATATATCAGCTGTCTTTATTGTGATTTAATGTTCCGGTGTTGCATGTTTTATTTATGTCAATTTTTCACTATGTAACATGTATTTTATTTATCATGCTTTGTATACATTTGTGCAAATCTTTCCTGAATAAATTTATTATATATTATTATTATTATTATTATTATTATTATTATTATTATGTGTAAAGTATTCAGTTTTACCTTGAAACGTAATCGGCCAAGTCTATAGTAACAGCCCTGGCGGTGTTTTAACACCAAACAAACAGTCCGTATCTGTCTGATTCTCTCTTACCAAAATCCTATGTGACATACTTCATACTTACAAACATGAATTAAAGAACATTTTCCATTGTAACTTACCGCCTATTTGCTCTTCTGTTAGTTGATCGGCCTGTAAATAAAATGGACCAAACATTTGTTTATTGCATAAATCTATCCATATCTACCATACTGGAAATGTATATACTGACAAGTTTATAGTACCAGTTGGTATACAAACTATTAACCTAATACAGTCATTGTATTTGATTCCAGTAATGTATACATGTTTATAGAGTCACGATTTGTTTGTTAATGGACGATGACATTGTCGTTATTGTACGTCAAGTTCTTAAACAAACTTTCAAAACAACATTTAGATAAAGTATTTGACAACGAATGTCGAGCAGCGGGACGACAAAAGAGATTTTTAAAATTTTCTCTACTTTAGAAATAATAATTTTCATCGATGATAACTTTAAACAAAACTGTTTTCTTATGTATTTTGCTATCACATGTCTCTAATTACAGGTAAATTATCATCAGGCAAAACTTGTATATCACCTGTCTATATCTACAGTGATACTCACCTTAGATAAAACTTGTATGTAGCTATCACCTGTCTATACCTACAGTGATACCCACCTTAGATAAAACTTGTATGTAGCTATCACCTGTCTATATCTACAGTGATACCCACCTTAGATAAAACTTGTATGTAGCTATCACCTGTCTATATCTACAGTGATACCCACCTTAGATAAAACGTGTATGTAGCTATCACCTGTCTATACCTACAGTGATACCCACCTTAGATAAAACTTGTATGTAGCTATCACCTGTCTATATCTACAGTGATACCCACCTTAGATAAAACGTGTATGTAGCTATCACCTGTCTATACCTACAGTGATACCCACCTTATGTAAAACTTGTATGTAGCTATCACCTCTCTATATCTACAGTGATACCCACCTTAGATAAAACTTGTATGTAGCTATCACCTGTCTATACCTACAGTTATACCCACCATATGTAAAACTTGTATGTAGCTATCACCTGTCTATATCTACAGTGATACCCACCTTAGATAAAATTTGTATGTAGCTATCACCTGTCTATATCTACAGTGATACTCACCTTAGATAAAACTTGTATGTAGCTATCACCTGTCTATATCTACCGTGATACCCACCTTAGATAAAACTTGTATGTAGCTATCACCTGTCTATATCTACCGTGATACCCACCTTAGATAAAACTTGTATGTAGCTATCACCTGTCTATACCTACCGTGATACCCACCTTAGATAAAACTTGTATGTAGCTATCGCCTGTCTATATCTACAGTGATACCCACCTTTGATAAAATTTATATGTAGCTATCACCTGTCTATATCTACAGTGATACCCACCTTAGATAAAACTTGTATGCAGCTATCGCCTGTCTATATCTACAGTGATACCCACCTTAGATAAAACTTGTATGTAGCTATCGCCTGTCTATATCTACAGTGATACCCACCTTAGATAAAACTTGTATGCAGCTATCACCTGTCTATATCTACAGTGATACCCACCTTATATAAACCTTGTATGTAGCTATCACCTGTCTATACCTACAGTGATACCCACCTTAGATAAAACGTGTATGCAGCTATCACCACAATTTACCAAGTGTTAGAAATAGTATATCCATAAGTAACTGTTATCTCCAAAAGAATTCACATCTCTTTTGCTGTCAACTATCTTCATATGTTTACAACCTCCTATCCAACCATGTTTACCAATAGTTACTATGATCAACACTCTTAAACTATTATCACCTTTAAGGGCTAATTCGAGTCTAAAGAAAAATCCGATAAAAAAACAAAAACAAAAACAAACAAAAAAAAATACGTGATTTGATAAATCATAATTATGATCTATAGGATTTACCAAGCCACGTCCTACTTGTTTTAAAAATTGATGAAACTTTTCTCTTCAGTATTCAGAAAAATGATATCAATAGACATATATATTTCATGAAGCCACACATGAACACAACGACTGAGTAATATTCAAAGGATGAATCATTGTTGAAGCAAGCAAAATACAGCAAAGTACAATAACTGATTAATTTGTTAAACACATAAACTTAATAAATAGTACAAAACGTATCAATGAAACGTAAATCTCTACTCACCATGTCTGAAATTAGATACCTTTACTGTCGTACAGTCTCGCGCTAACTGAAGGCTTTCACTTTCAAATCAGTCTAATGGTTGTGCTTCCTAACTTAAAACGAGACTAAACGTGTACACCTTCTGGTGAACGTTGGTCGCCTGGGTAGGATTTTGTTTCAGGTTCGGTGGAGACGAACTGAATGCATGATAAAATATTAAATACCGGATATGCCTCAACCTGTACATATGTATATATTTACTTTGTAATCCAACACCATACGAAAGCTTAATTGACTACTTTTAACTGAAAGATTTAATCAATGTCAACTTGATTTCAATAATAGTCAAATAATTTCATACTGTCTAGTACTAAACGATCGTGTACAATGATACTTAATCTAAATTGTTGCAAATCTAAAATCTCGTTTAACACACTAATGCTATTATGAAATATTTTTAATGATGAAAGCTTGTCCAGTCAAGACGTATTGTGTAGAGGACACAAGTGTGGGTTATTTGGATGACTGGGTGTTAGAGAAATACCACAAGGGTTTATTATACGAGTTTAAATCTTGTAAATCAACATCCTATACAGGCCGGCGCAATGCGACAAATTTCCTTGGCAACGACCTCAAAAGAAAGTTGAACCTTAACTAGGTCAGTTACAGGTAAACATATATGTATCATGCCCGCCTACACATAGGTACGAAATACAGGTGTGTGTTTGTGCTATCTACCTGTACTCGTCTTACCCAACATATCTATTGGTTTTACTGTCACATCAGTACACTTGTAGACGTAGATAGCAACATTATTATACAGGATTTCTGACAACAATGAAACTTTATTAGATATCGTAATTGTAGTAGGATGAATAAATAGAATTAACTGTAGTATATTATTATCTTAACAACACATTCGCACTGGTCTTTTTAATTGTGAATAGACGTTCATATCTTAATAGTGAATATCAGTTTACAAGATTAATTTTTCTAATCACAAATAAATGATATTTATTTTATTTTATTTTATTTTATTACGTGTTTTCTCTGGTCTAAATATGAAAATCGCTCTCAGTTTGTTGGTAAATGAGTTCCGGACCTTATTGTTAAAAACATTGACTATTTTATTACTATATATAATACGCCAATATCGTTAAATACAGGAATTACCTTTACAGAAAGGTTATCAACAATAGATGATTATATTAACTTTCTCTCACAGACACTGAGATATGCAAGCCGATGAATATTAAGAAGTAACTTAATAGTTGTCATAATGGTAACGTTGGAAAATATTATTTTTCCTTATTTAATATAAAGCAGAAAGTGTTTGATGGTCATTAATTCTTTTGTTGTCAACCTTGTTTTCATTCGAAAACGTGGCAAATACTTAATGAGAGTGACCAAGGTTTACATTGCGGTTGTCGTCGATGACGCAAAAATCACTTATATTTACCATTTATATACCAAGTTGTATTCTCTCTACTTTTTAAGAAGTTTTCGTGTAAATCTTTATTTGGTTCATATATTCCCCTAGCTTCATTTTGTTGACATGTCGACATTTCGTTTTTTGTTTTTTTTGTTTTGTTTTGTTTTTTGCCAGATTTCTTTTTCGTTTGCTTTTTGTGTTTATTCTCTTCCTGCTAGATATTGCGCTACCTCTGTAATATAACTATAGCAATAAACCAGTCACATACTGTATGTAATGTTTCATTAACACATACATATCTGTATAAACAAACTAATCACATTATAGACTACAACATGAAGCTGGATATCACACGCTAATACGGCTCAGTGACTTCAAAAACAAATCACATTTACAAACAACCACTTCGTTATGTAAACAATCTATTGGCCCACATTTATTTGTGGACGATTACACAATGTATACATGGAATCAATGTTTACATTGCGTTGTGTGGTAGATTGAAAACAAGCACAAGTGCTATAATAGAAGACATCTTGTATAGAGAGTTGTTTAATTCCTCGAGAGGTTCGCAAGAATAATCATATCTCCAGAAGTAAATTTGTTAAAAATGACGTAGAATTGAGATGTAAAGAATCCATCAACTGTATTACGTTATAAAAAACAGAACAAATTTATGATAGCGTGGAGATAACTTGTACCATAGTAAATGCTTAATTTATTGCTAATGTTTTGTCACTTATCACACGATTTTTTTAGTGTTTCTAGAATGTCGTCATGTACGTTTTAACATTTTTCAGTTGTTGTTTTTCTGATTCTTTCGGATCTTGTTCTGTCGTTCTGATAATTTTGTTTTGTTTTCTGATCATGTTGTTGTCCTTCTGTTCCTATTGATCCCATCTTGTTGTTTATCTGGTCTGTTTGTTGTTTTCCTATTCCTATTTCTTCTTCTTTTTAAATGTCTTAAATTAAAATTTCTTATCTTTATTAAAGGCACTATACCTACATAATTTTTATTTTCAATTGTTCAGTTTCACGTATCATTAAATATATTGGTTTTTGTATTCTCAGTTTTGTATATTTCAATCGTAACACATTACTCCGGATGTATTGTTGTTAATGAAAACGTGTGGAATGCTATTCTCAGTTTGTAGAGAACGATCTTCTTGTACAAAATTTTCGAATTGACATTCGTCATAAGTCTAAACTTCGGACACGAGAACGTTATATACAAAGTATACTTCCTTAGCCTTTCATTTGTACGAATATTCCAATAGTTAATTATATCTACAAATATTTCAAGAGGATCTTTAATTATGGAAAATACATTGTTTATCATCTATTCACATATTCAAATTTCTAAATAGAATGTATATATTTTTTATTTGTGTTATAGCACAAACTGTAAGAACTGTTTATGCGTTTATTAATACACTGTTTGCATTTGAGAACGTGACAGTACTTAGTTGAATTTACCAAGATTTACATGGCAGATGACGACGATGAAGTAGAAGGCGTTTACTCTTCCTAAACACATGGTCTTATTCTCATTAGGATATTTCATGAGTCTAAGTGTAAATTTTTATTTTAGTGATATTTTGACCATAGACTTTGCAGCATTGGCAATTGGGTTTTGACCTAGTGACCTCATCATTGTTCCAACTCTTTGGTTGTTATGGAAATGTCACTGTCTTTCTCGAACAGGTTGAAGACCTCCTTAAACTCATACATAGGAAAAATATCTCTTTTCACACCGAAATTAAACATAACGTACTGTAAAACGACATTCTAAACATTATATCATTTATTAATAATTTATCTAACATGCAGTGGAACTTTCTAGAATCGTGTTTTATGAAATGACGAGTTGAAAACTCGGGAGCAATTTCGATGTCAACATTTTATCATTTAAAAGTTTTCACAGGCTTCATATACATTAAACTATGTTTTTTTTTTTTCATATAAGTAATTAAAATAGCTTAGACGTTTACAATAGTAATGAAGGTCAATAAGAAAGATTTATTTCGTTACGATGTAAAATGGTTGACGCACATGGCTAACTCTCAACTCACAACAGAATCTACAACTAACCTACAATTTGTTCTTCAGTCAGTTGTTCCGCCTGCTATTGTTAACAAACACGAGTTATCATGCATCGTTTTTGTTCACAGCGCTTTCATGTGGAACATGAATATGAAGCATTCTCTCTTTATTATATCCTGTTTTGTTGATGTTGTAAACATTAAGTAAACCTTGTAGTCGATATGATACGATGGTGTTGCTATTATGCATAACATATCACATAGTTAAAAACAAAAGTCACATGGATATATTAAAATCATTTCAAATTGATCTTAATTATCTCTGTTTTACTTTTTCAATATCATTAACCCCAAATGACCAACTTTAAAAACATAATTCGAACCATTCAAATAACAGTAAATAAAACAATATTAATGCACACCATATTTTGTGATAAATAATCCTACTGTAACCACTAATATCTTATGTTCATGTGAAGTACCCCTGTACTGAGGAAATACAGTAAGAGATTGAATATAGGCGTTAACGTTCAGGTCACGCAGACTTTCCTTTCAATAATTTTATTTTTATATGTAGTCAGCAGTCATATTTAAAAGGAATGAAATAAGCGTTCCAGAATGTCGCATTGTGGCATATCGCCGAGGCCAATTTCAGGTTCTGTTTGACGACAAATTTAAAAGTCTTTTTATAGATATGCATTAGATACTCTGCTACTCATGTCAAAAAGCAAGTGCAAACAAATTTCACTATTAAGGAATAGAGGATTTAAACTCCATTCCTATTTTCGTATAACCTTGATTTATTTTGTTTATAGGGTTTAATGTTCTATCAATAGCTGTATTAATTTAAGGAAAGTATGCGATTTTGCGATGTGTTCGTCTATGCCTACTTGTGTTGGTGCGGAACTGAAGCCAACTGAAATACTGAAATATACTAACGTTAGTCTAGAGCAAGGCTCTTCTCTCCCCACAAATGGAGAAATTGTGATTTTTTGATTCATTTCCGGCCTATGCGTAAAGCACATGACTTGGGAACTTACTTGTTTTGTTAGTAATTTTAACTTATAAAACACACTTGTTACCATTAAAACAGTTTCGATCAGGAGTATACCTCGCCAAAAATTTTATCCTTGTGATGTCATTAAATGTGTAATATATTGGTTTATTCTGCTTTTGTTCAGACTCAAGATGAAAGTGGTTTGCGAGGTATCTACTTTTCTTAATTATGTGCATCCAATTGTATAGCTATGTTGTATGTACCAATGTCAATATCTCGAGCTTCAATATCTGTTTGATTTAATTAAGTAAAACAGACACAAGTGTATGAAAAATAAAAATATTTTTATATAGAAACAATAGGTTTTATCCATACTAAAATCAACGTTTACATGTATCATGGTCGAATGGAAGTAGAGCGATGGGATGCGGGCAATGACACAGACATTGACCATATGATCTACACATCAAAGTTTCACAAAGGTTTTGTCAGGGCGTCTACTTTGATGTCATCATTTTCACGAATTCTGAAGGAAAGAAATAATATGTTAACAAAACAGCCAATATAAGAAAGTTTGATAATACAAATCATAGTTTAACAGGTACAGAATAATTAATAATTAACCACTTTACTGCAGACAGTAAGGATCCTACAAGCAATGCTTATATTATACCATTTCCAAATAGTTACTTTAGGATATTAATATCCGAAAACACCTACAATCATAATTAACTTGTCCATCACCATACAATTTTAAACATAATATATCAATAGCATATAAAATCATCACAATTGATAAGATAGATATATAAATATTAACTATTTCTCCTGGTAGGTAACACGCACCTTCGTAATTAACTTGTCCATCACCATCCACGTCAGCCTCTCGGATCATTTCATCCACTTCCTCATCTGTTAGTTTTTCTCCTAGATTTGTCATAACGTGTCGTAATTCAGCTGCACTGATAAAGCCATTTCCATCTTTATCAAATACACGGAATGCCTCATGGATTTCTTCTTCACTGTCAGTATCCTTCATTTTCCGTGCCATCATTGTCAGGAATTCTGGGAAGTCTATCGTTCCGTTTCCTGCAATAACAAGAAACCGTTTAGGCTAAACCGCTGACTGGACATCAAGCATTTGGAACAGCTGGAAGATAATAATTTAAGATATATCTTAGGTTCGATACATGTCTCTTTTTTTTTTGCCTACACAGTGTTTCAGATATAACGCATGTTTCCCCAAGGTTAGACGTTTCGCGTGCTTCAATTCCAGACATCAATAGTGTTAGCTATCAATTGGAATATCAATATGTTTTACATGTGCTCTTATTTCTATGGAATATATTGAAAATTGAGTAGAAAGGATATGTAATTTGTAATGTGCAAGTCAGATTACAAATTGTTAATACAAAATTCAGAATTTGGAAGTAAATACTTTTAAAGTTATGCTTGCGATTCCGTAGGTGAAAATAATTTGGTTTCTTTGCTTACATACCTATGAGGCATCATTCAACTAACTCATTACATTTTCACTTTCCAAACTGACAATATTGACTGACGAGTTTGATCTGAACTTTGATGTCCAGAAAATATTTATTTAGTAGATTCACTTCCATGTTTGCAATTTATTTGTCACTTTTTTGTATTGTTGACATCTATCCAACCTTTTGAGAATATTTCTGGTTTCAAAATATAATTTACCATCAGCGTCCACCTCGTTAATCATGTCTTGTAACTCGGCTTCTGTCGGGTTCTGGCCAAGTGACCTCATTACTGTCCCCAACTCTTTTGTTGTTATGGTACCGTCGCCGTCTTTGTCAAAGAGACTGAATGCCTCCTTAAACTCTTTATTTAGAAACAAGCATACATGTAATAAATTACATAACGAACATTCTTGCTGATACTTTCTGAAAGTGATATTTAATTCGAAGGCAGCAATTTTTTCCGCCACTGTATACAGCATGTCATGTTGACATACCGTTGGCAATTGCTATAACAACAAATGAGATAAATAAAACATTCAGAGAAAATCAATTTTCAATCTATATATGCTTTTAAGTAATGAAGTGAAAGACTATTCTTATTGATGAAGCTTATTCTTTTTAGAGAGTACAACATTTAAGGACACTGGAACTTACCCGCAATCTGTTCCTCTGACAGTTGGTCCGCCTGAGGACATAAATGAACATGTATTATGATGTAACAATCGCACTTTCATTAACAAGAAACATAAATAACACGCATTATGTCTTTTAAAATGCTTTGATGACCAACATTTTTCATGCTAACTTTGGCGAGGCATATATTACAAGGAGTCTCGAAATTGTTAATAAAGAAAGGTATATACGAAAGAATTAAAATAAATCTGCTAAGTCAGTTATGAAAGTATTTAATAGAAAGAGGTAGCGTTGGTATACCTCATAGTACATATTATATATCACAATGAAATAGACAAAAATGGGAAGGGGGGGGGGGGGAGGTGTTAACAAAATTATTTCAGATCTACCTGGATTCACATTAATCATATACATGTTAACGTATTCTAGACTAATTGTATATCAGGGTGTAATCCTGACGAGAATAGCTGCAAATGAAAACAAATCACTTGAGATAATATATTCACACAGGAGATGGATACATACCATTTTGTCCCGGGGAAATATCCCAGTGACTACTGAACACTATAATGCGTTATTGATGTGTTGCACCCTGTTGTGAACAGCAAGTGATTTGATATACGCATATCTTCTTCCTTGTCACGCAAACGTTCCTTTCAATAACTATTCTGGATATGGGTATATTTACAGTGATAATGTTGATCAAGTATGTGTACCTAATTGTACTAGAATGTCGCAATGCGGCATATCGCCCAGGCAACTTTAGGCTTTATTTGACGGGATAAGCGGGAGTCTTGCAACACGGATTTGAACTTACATCTCTATTTACACGCGGGCTCAAGACTATATTAATGAAAGGGATGTTTAAATACATTTTATAAACAAAATAAATCATGTTTGGTTCTAATAATGATACATTTACATAGTTTTTGTAATTTACCGTTGTCAGTATTCGTGACGAAAAGCGGTTATATCTCAACTAAACATCATTTTTACATAACTGTAGACTTTGTCAAGACGTTATGTAACTAAAACACAACTACTGATTACTCGATTAAATTGACTATTTGTGAAAGGTCTCCTGGCTGCAGAAACAGGTGACCGAGAGGAGGTAGTCGTCCTTATCTGTCCTGGAATGAGTTATGAAAAAATTGAGGAAAATAGGATACGATTTACTGTAAGAACGGTTTGAAATTGAACTTTCACATTGTTTGATTTATTATCTAATTTGATGATTAATTTCATATCTACATTGTTCAATTTCTTTGTCCGATTGACACTCAATGATAAGTTTGGTTATATATCACCCGAAGACTGTCGCGAGGCCGGAAAACGTTAGCGAATTTATTTGCCATGTCAAGTGTTTGATTTTCTATATATATGTCTGAAGCCAAAATATTGGTAAGTGGTTCAGAAATAAATAAAACAAATCTACATCGAGTCTATCTTTATAGTAGTGTATGGCACGAAAGTCAATCTATTTTCAGTAAATGTGCTTTACATGATGATATAATTCATTGTATGACGTCGCAAGGTCATAAAATGTTGGTTATATAATACGGATATTCTTGTCATTTTTGCTCTTTTCAATCTCCTTTTTGCGGTTCAAATAAAAAATGTATCATTCTCATACAAGCGAATCACAACCACTAATTTCTGGTTGTCGGTCGAAACGAAAGCAGAAGACAAATGATTGTAAAATTGTGCATCTATTTGTGAATGAAAGTAATAGCTAGGCTATTCATCTTCTGCCGTTACTAAGCATTCAAATGAATGCAGATTTTTATATCATTATATTTCTTTAATACCTTCTGACTATATTGCAAATAGCAAAAAACTAACACGGAAGTATGATAAAGAAGACAATTGTGGTTGGCATTTTTTTTATCTTATTTTCCTTCTCAAAACACATTGTTTAATTAAAAACTTGAAACTTTCTTCTGAGACGACAAAGATGTATCCGTATGCTCTAAATCCGTAAACGTTAATGAGGTTCTACGCTATATATTTTGCTTTCTTGCTACTTTCTTAATATTTCATTCGCACTGTGTTGATTCCTTTTCCTCCCTAATTCGCGTTTCTTCTATTTCTCCAGTTTTGAATAGCCAATGTAAGTAATGACATGAACGATGTGTTGATAAAATTAAGATGATATTTTCTAATGATGATGCAAAACAAACAGTTATGAGAACGTATGAATTGCTATAGTTCAGCAGTGAGACGTTTGGTAAATAAATTTCTGTATCAAAACTGCCTGAACATTCTATATTGCTGATGAGTGTCCATATGCTATAAAATACCACATGAATGTAGTCTTTTGATTGCAAGGATCGACCGTCCTTCGTGAAGTAACACTAAGGCTATGGCTTTATTCATTTCTCAAAAAGGACGTGACCGTTGCCCTGACAGCGGGATTGCAATGAAATTACCGATGCGACGGTCAAGTTTGGATACCATATGATGACCTTACAGACGCCATTAAGTATTCATCATGTTCGAACTACGTATTACTAGCTTTCCCTCTCCTTGATGCGAAAACTTTAAGTGGATTAAGTTCTCGGCGCTATATGGAAACTAGATTATAGACTTCGTAAAATTATTGCGATGTTGCACAAACACTTCTTGCGATTGTCATATTTTTTCAGCAGTTCATCAATTTATGAATACTCAGATTACAAGTAAGTAATTGGATGATATAAGCATTTCCTACAGTTACCTCAATCCCACTACATCCCATGTTTATTTTCAATTACAAGCAACAGCTGAGTGTTAGGTCATGTGCTGGTTAAGATTGCGTGCTTTAATCCCGGAAAAATCAGGACTAAACACGTTCGAACATTATGTAATGGCAAATTTCAACATATTTATCTTAATTTTTTACAATATAAAATTACAAACACCTATGAGAAAATAAACTGATTCAAGAGAATGACCATTTTTACTATCCGAATATCATATTCATGTATCAAATAATATATATAATATTTGTAACATGGTGAATTGTACATCATTTGTACTTCCTTGTTAATATTCGTTCACTAATATTTTATTAATATAATGCTATATAGAAATTATCACATGTTTCGACATTATTCATAAAGACCAGTATATATAAAAATATTAAAATAAATCTGGTAAGGGGGACAAGAATGTATTTAATAAAATGAGGTACAAATGGAAGTAGTTTATATAGGAAAGTAGATAGGAACGTATTTGATTAAGTAAGATAGATATGAAAGCAATTAATAACGATAGGTAGATATGAAAGTAATAAATAAAGATAGGTAGATATGAAAGTAATTAATAAAGATAGGTAGATATGAAAGTAATTAATAACGATAGGTAGATATGAAAGTAATTAATAAAGATAGGTAGATATGAAAGTAATTAATAACGATAGGTAGATATAAAAGTAATTGATAAAGATAGGTAGATATGACAGTAATTAACAACGATAGGTAGATATGAAAGAAATTGATAAAGATAGGTAGATATGAAAGTAATTAATAAAGATAGGTAGATATGAAAGTAGTTGATAAAGACATGTAGACATGAAAGTGTTTGATAAGATTTATAAATTGGTATACGATTTAGTACACGTTATGTATCACATTGAAAAAAGATTTGGTAACAGAACAAGTGCAGATCTTACTGGATTCATATCATATATAAACGTATTCTATACTTATTGTATTCTACGGTCTCATCCTGATGACAATAACTACCAATTAAAACACATAATTTGAGATAAAAGATTCACAGAAGATAAATTCCTACCATATTGTCTCGCAGAATTATCCCAGTTGTGGCTGAACACTATGAAGTGTTATCTGGGTGTCGCAACGCAGTTGTTAATACACACAGCAAGTGATTGGATATATACATGCCAACGTCCCGGTCACGCAGACGTTACCTTTAATTGCATTGAAGCATTCAGTTTTAAAGAGAATCTTGTTAAATTATATGTACCTTAGTGTACCAGAATGTCGCATTGCGGCATATCGCCCAGACAACTTTAGGCTCTATTTGTCGATATAAGTGGGAGTCTCGCTACATGAACATATACTTAATACTCTATTCTAGAAGTTGGCGCAAGGACGTATCAATGAAAGGGGTATTTAAACTCATTTTACAAACAGAGTATGTCATCTGGGGTTCTTATATGAGATGTATACCTACTTTTCGCATTTTCCACTTTAAACATTATGGTATTTGTGACGGAAATGAAGGTATATCTCAGTCACCCGTCGGTTGTACACTTTTGTAGCACTTTTGAAGACTTTTAATTTCACAAAAACACAAACACTGAAATCATTTTACGAGGAACAAAGTCGGTTGCATCAAATCAAATATTAATGTACGGTCCCTTGACTCTAGAGGCAGGCGACCGAAAGGAGGTGGTCGTCCTTGTCCGTCTTTAGATGGATGATAGATAAAATTCACATTTGCACAAGAAACGAAGAACAGCTCAGAGCGTAGCATGACATGAACATTCAACAATTAAATATCATTAATTTGATTGCATCGAATTGCAGACAAAGACGCAAGTTTCTAGTTTACGTTTTAATACGAAATATGAGACAAAACTGCCTCAAACAGCTATTTCGTCCTTCTGGGAATCGTCCGTGATAATGATAGCCTAATTGTTCATGCCGTGGAAAGGACTGAGGAAAATCCAAAGAGATCAAACGAAATGTCAAATGTTAGATAAGAAGTTGCTCTAGGAAGAGTCAGCATATTCAAAAGGTTGTATGGTGCCTGTTTGTTTAACAGGATACGATTTTTACAATTACAACTTTGTTGTTTTAGCTGTTTGAGTGTGAACGATTTGACAGTTATCTGGCACATTTTCTGTTTGGTTGATGTTCGGATTATCTTTGTACACCATTTTTTTGCAGTAACGACCCTCCTTGTGCTTTTTGGTCATTACGAATACAAAGTTTGGTTTATATATGAATCTTTATATATACATTTACAATTTCGTCTAAAGAGGAGATTTAGACTAAATGTACATATACCATTTCTTATGTTCAACGGCGGACATCTATCACTTTACCTTGAACAAACAAAAAATCATAAAAACAATGAATTTCTATATATAAAAAGTAAAATATCTTTGATCAAATATTAGTAGATCGATGTTTGTTTTCTGGGTAAACCAATTGTGATTTCAATGTAGTTGCTTGTATTGTTTATTCGGTGACTAGTTAGATGTAATTCCCCTATATGAGAACGTAACTATGCAGGTCTTAACCGCAGCAACTAGATTGAAAAGATTGACCAATCTAGTGTAATAATGCTGATGAACGCACGGGTGTCTGAAATATCATCAAAGAAATGTTTATCAATATCTAATGTGGTCACGTTTTCGTTCGATCTAATCATAATTTGTTTGAAAATATATGTTTATAAGTATTTGCTCTCCAAAGAATAACTAATTCTTAAGTTTTTTTCAGGATATACCAAAGCTAGCCTCGACTTCGCAACAAGTATATCATTTCTTATTTTAGAACACAATTTACCTTCCACGTCACACTATGAATGTATTGTTGTGTTGTTGTTTTGTTTGTTTGTTCTTATATAAACATTAGCAGTAGTAGTATTGTGTTTGTTTTCTTTTTTTTTTACCTGTGATGACAGATAAGCATTGACATGTAAAGAACATGAGGTAACATGATATGAATACGTACCATGTTTTCGTTGAAGATCTATCGAATATATATCTGTCTAATATACCTGTGGGATGGTCATATCATTAATGTGTTGTTTTCTAGTCGTTCCGCTCGAGTGAAAAAATATTGGAAGGTAATACGGATATCGGTAAACGTCTTGGGACTGTAGACTTTCCTTTCTTATTTAACATTTAATATAAAGATAGCATACATGTTTAAAGTGTATGTTTTGAAAGCTTATATACCTGAATATAATTTAGTGGCATATCACCAAGACAAGTTTTAGGCCCTAGTTGGTAAAAGAGAGTTTCTCTTTTATTGGTAAACAGGCAAAGCTGGTCTATAAATAGCTTGTATATACAAAGGCCATACAAAACTTTTTCAGTTAGTTTGTATTTAAACCCCACTTCGTAACGAACTTCAAGGGCGACACCTACATTTTATCTATAGAACTCTTCGTCGGTATTTATTGTATGTAGTCTTTGTTTTATGATAATAGTATGTTGTCATAACGTTGATTAGTGAAACACGTATATGTGAGTATTTTCAAATTACATCTGAAATGTAAATATAAATATTGAATGGTCGTTAGAGTGTAGTTATGGTCAATATGAATGTAATATGAGTAACTGATAAATAGACTGACGTCAGTTAACACTGTTCAGTAGTGAACTAATCACTGATTGTAATCAATTTGATGATAATACAAAGAATGTTATACTAAAAATTGAAATTATCGTTTGACTTTTTGATAGTTAATGTGTTTGTTTGTTTTTTCTTTTGTTTTTTTTTTTTTTTTTTTGTTTTTTTTTCTTTTCTTTTAATTAATTTCATATCTAACAATGAAAAAAATATTCTTTTATTTATTGAGTATCTTTATTTTCTATATCTTCATTTTTTTTCTTCAAAAACTGAAATTCACAATGTGTTTTGCATGAATGTCATAACATGTACAATGATGAGGACAATCCTGTCCTGTGACACAATTTATTTTATTCGGACGGGATTATCATGATTAAAAACAGTACGCACTTTATCATCAACACTAATTTTCGGTTGATGGAATGACAAAACAAAATACATCCTCCGCTAGATTTACTGATTTTTCAACAATTTTTTATTATGAAAGTATTTACTTTTACCGATTGTTTTTAAACCTCCAAACGGTTCATTGAAAATAACCATTACAGGATATTGACCTTAATTGATACAATCGTAACAGATGATTTATATCATCAAAACCATATGTGGATGTGTTGATATAACCACACGTACTTGTGCATTGCCTAGCCCTGTGCTTCACAAAATACAACCCCTTAACCCCTAACCCCTCGCTGACAAAACCATAAATGGGGCGTTTCGAGATCAATTTGTGATGGGTATTCCATGCTCTTAACAAAAAAGTAGTTTCGAATCGTCAATGATTTTATATGAATTTCCAAAACACAATGGACGTTAATATATATGTAAATTGATTCGATTTATGCAGATATTCTACAGTAAAACAGTTACGATAGATAATCCATGATTGCTACATATACCACAAGTTCCCTATATATACAACATTTGTTTCATTTATCAAAAGCCTATATATTCTAGGCTATTATTATGGGCTTTTAAAAACGATAATTCATTACAGTAGCTGACATATATATTAACCTATGTTTATTATCAACATGATATTTCATACTTTCACCAATGATCATAAAGAACGAAAAATATGTATTGTTATATTTGAATGAGAAAATTCCTCACATGTCATTGGTCAACAGGTCATCCATCCATTTCAAAAAAGCAATGTTAACATGAAACTGGCGAATTCCTGACAAAAAGTTGTCTTCGCAAATTGATTGACGATGTAGACTAAAAATAGCAACTGGGAATTTCCATGACCCCATTGTTCATGTTCATTGTTTATATATGAAAGTATGAGACAGATTTATTGATGTAAAAACTGCGTATTATGATATGTCGCCAAGGATTATCGTTGGACTTACATAAAGATTTCGTTTAAATGAGAGTTTGTGCAAGTTACAAATTAAAAGACAAATAATTTACTTTTTAAAACAAATAAGTGTGAATAGAAAAGTATATGATATAAGTACTACTATTCTATTGGTAATATAGTGAGGTATATGTTTTCCGTTGTCATTTGAAAGCAATGATAATAATATTTCATTATTGTTCGAAACAACAATATTGTTATATAATTCGATATCATATCTAAACCCAACTCCAAATGTTCAATTCTAGTAGCACATGTACCAACCTGTACGAAAACTACTCGTTTTCCCCCCACTGTAAGAACACACAAGCACATTAAAGCAGACAAACAAGAGCTATGAAATAACTCAAGTATATTTCTTTGTTTAAGTCTTAAAATAATAAAATCTTTCTACTCATTGTGAATCTGAAAAGCTTGTAGACACATAATGTGAGGTGGTTTAATGGTCTATTGCCGAAGGGTGTAGCAAATTAAAGCAGATATTGTCATTGATATGATAGATGTCCTTACACCAAAACCACTACGAATACTATTATTGTGACGTTTCAATGAATCAAATATAATTATCCTGACTGACTGATTTCATAATGTTCCAGTCACTTCCAGAGTTAAGTCCCTTGTGCAGCTCGTATATATGTTTTGTTGTGTGCTTTGCATAATTTAACATAGAAGCAATTGTTATTATCCATACTATAACAAATGTATACATATGTCAACTGACGATGACCATATGATCTACACATGAAAGTTTCACAAGGGTTTGGTCAGGACACTAAATGGATGCGTCTACTTTGCCGACATCATTTTCGAGAATTCTGATAAAAAAGAAAATATGTATCAACCAAACTTTCAATACCAGAAAACTTTATATTCAAAGCCATACACCTCTAGCATAGTTTTACATTTATTGATAGTAACTTATACCAGATTGCTAAAAGTACATTATTTCATTGTTTATAATCTCTTCAATTAAGTACTAGTTTAAACAATTCGATATTATATAGATTAGCTTCACGCAATATGTTTGCATAGAATAACAAATGAGAAATCTATCAATAATAAACATTACTTATTTTGTTCCTCAAATCCAGTTACTCACCCTCGTAATTAATTTGTCCATCACCATCGACGTCAGCCTCTCTAATCATTTCATTTACTTCATCATCTGTAAGTTTTTCTCCTAGATTTGTCATAACGTTTCGTAATTCAGATGCACTGATTAAGCCATTTCTGTCTGTATCAAAAATTTCAAACGCTTCTTTCATCTCCGCTTCATTATCCCTATCCTTCATTTTACAGGCCATCATGGTGAGGAATTCGGGAAAATCAATTGTACCATTTCCTAAAATAAAATAACTTTTCATGATATGTGAACTTTCATGTTTAGTTGTTAATGTTTATTCAATATATCCCGTTTTAAATATTCCAGTATTCGCATATGCTGTTATTTTTTTAGGTCGCAGAAAAAAACATTATGTAGGATAGGATTTTTACGAAAATTTGAAATCCACGGTTCCTTACATTTCTTATACACAACAAACAGAGCTTCGTTTAGAAAATGTTAAAACACAGACAAGTGAATAACGCCTATTATTGTTAATTTAGAATTGGATACAATACTGTTAAACTAAGTATCAAACTGCATCATACAGCTGCTTTGTCCTTCTATGACATATTTTTGAATAAATAATAATGAAGAAGAACATATTGAATCACAGGTTGAAATCATATGTCTTCGGACTTAGAGTGTAAGTATGCCGATACGATGGTATTCTTGTCTATAGAACTAACGTGATGCTTGGTATTGTTATTTAACCATTTACTGATTGTTTATTCATGATCTAGTTTTGAAATACATTAGTTGCGTTATCAGCAGAAATAAATTATCATTTTTATAATCACCAGCTGGGTTATCGTATTGAGTTTGTGAAAAAAGAAACCTCATGAGCCCGAACAGTCCTAAGTAAACTATTTTTAATCTCAAAACATGGTTTACCATCCACGTCCACTTCGTTAATCATGTCTTGTAACTCGGCTTCTGTCGGGTTCTGACCTAGTGACCTCATCACTGTCCCCAACTCTTTTGTTGTTATGGTACCGTCGCCATCTTTGTCGAACAGGCTGAACGCCTCTTTGAATTCTTGGATAAGGATACATATAGTTAATGTTCATTCAAATGCAACAACATTTACTAAAGGAATAACAAAAATGCATAGATAGAAAAATCACTGATTAATTTCCTATGAAATCGAGCTGATTGTAAAGTATCACGACATCAGTAATTCGAGGCCTGAACAGAAAAAAAATAATTTTGTCCTTTAGCCAAAAATGGATACAATTACTAAACACGATGAATCACGACTTTAAGCATAAACATGTTTTCAAATTGAAGATTATTTCACATATTGTACAGTTTGATGATTATCTTCAATTTGAAACACAGTTGTTTTAGTTTTAATAAACCTTTATTTGAAATATATAAACAACCTTTGTCTCAGAAAATAGGCTGAAATCCATCATTGTGCAATTCACCATTTTCTTCCTTTTGAAACATTAACGACGGCTCTTCCTCAGTGCGTTCAACTAAATAAACATTATTCATCATATATAGTACAGCAAAATGGTAACAGCATACTGTAATGTTTTGTTACCTTTATATAGTTACATGTGATGAATATTGATTGATATGATGAATATATTTTCACAGTGTCCTCCGAAAGAAAATTAGGACATTTCTTCCCAAGTGTACATTTCCGATTAATGTATATGAATGATGCAAATATCTTAAGTGGTTATTTCCTTCATTTTTTTCATCGCAACAACGAATTGGGATGTCGTCAAAATGTGGTAAAAGGGATGCATGTTGAAAAGTGTTCTTGAGTCAATTGATATCCAGTAATGTGTTTTTATCATAAGTTGTTTTTATGTAGATTCGCGAAACGAGGGATTAACCTAAAGATACAAGTGTGTCTGTCATAAAATATATAAGTGTGTGCTTTATATTGGATTAATACTCGTTCTGATGGAAATTATCTCTGTCACCATCTAAACATTGTTTACTGAATTAAGCGTATTTTGATTTAACATCAGGAAGTAATTCCATCCTCTGAAAAATTCCGAACTACAGCCACGATAGAGATCAACATGAATACTGAGAATACGTGTTGTTCTTGGAAATTGCAGAAACTATAATTTTTTTTCAGAATCATAAGAAATCTTTGTATACATGTATGATTCTCTTAGTGCATTTTGTATCAGCTGGCCCACTTTTTTTTGTTAATAAATTGGTATTCACTTATTCAGTCTGTTTTGAACCTTTGAAGCTTTGATTAAACCTCCTTTTACAAGCTTGACTGTCTGCTAGTATACATTTTAAAAATTGTTCTTTGCATTTAAATTAGGACATAATATAGAACAAATAATCCGGAGTTATCTCTGTCTTATAGGTGACTGTCCAATATAAGACAGCCATTTAAAAAGGGATAGGTAACATGCTTGGTTATAGTATAAAAAGAACGATGGATGTCATCGCAACCATATTTTAACGATTCAATTATTAGTTCACTCTAGGAAAGATCTAATCCCTATCATTCCTTTTTCGTGTGACAAAAGACATAATATTGAAATCTCAATAAAAAAAACTACCTGTTACTAGGAATGTTATCCTGGAAGGTTTCTGTTATGCATTCCGCCCCTGCCTGAACCCTGTCTATACTTTACGCTATCATACTCCCTACCTCCGTCAAAACCCTGCCTGTATTCTACCCCTATCGGTTTTTATCTCTGCCTAAACCCTGCCTATACTCTCAATTATCACGCCTTCTACCGCTGTCTTTAGCCTGTTTATATGCTGAACCCCAATACTTCCTTCCTCTGTCATAACTCTGTCTTTATTCTCCATTGTGATACTCCCTCTCTCTGTCTTAGCACGTTCAAAAGTCTTACGTCTGTCCCAAGCCTGACTATAATCTCCAAGATCATATTTCCTATTTATCCTAACTCTGCCTTTATTGAGTCATACATGCTATTACTGTCTATCCCCACCTACCTATCCAATTGCCAGCATGTTCAATTCGCCCTACTCTGCCCTTTTTAATGGATAGAAGAAAGTTTTGAGGAAAGTTTACTATCAAATCATATAGTTTCGTGGGACCCATTTTTTGTTCCCCTACCTCCTCCTTGACATACATTTGAACAATAATGTTTTTAATTGTGTATAAAAGGTAATGTGATACAATTTATTCACTCTTAAACGTTTGGTTAAGCAGGAAAATAACATACCTGCTATCTGTTCCGCTGAGTGTTGGAATTCCTGGTCAATAAAGGTGATACAAACATATAAAAAACATACCGTCTTCACATTATATCCATTTCATTAACAGTTCTTTCTTATTTTGTAGTCCGTTTATCCAATCTGTATTCCTTCGTCTATACATGCAATATGTACTCAATACTATTATGAAACTATCTAAATATAGTACAAGAAGATTGCAATTGTCATTTAGAATTGTCCATTCATTTTGCATGACTTGATCATTCAGGGGTAGTGAGGCAGTTCTATGATAAGATCATTGTTTGGCAGATAGTATACGTAAGCACCGCCTGGTAAACACAAGTATGAGATGGTTTCCAATAAAGATGTCATTAATTAATGGAATAATTTCTTAAAGAAGTTCATTCTTGTTTTTACATACAGCTTTAACTACACCAAATTTCACAATATGCATGGTATGTGACCTAGGAGAGCAATCATTTGTCACATAAACGTAGGTTTTCAAACATAAGTCCTAAACCATAACAAATGATTAAAACATGTTTCGTATGTTTTACATTTGTTCCAAATATAAATCATGATTTGCAAATACTTTACTAGTTGCTACTACTAAATACTAGTTGGTTTAAAATAGTTCTATTTTCAATACCAGTTTGTATCAAAATGATGAATCATACACCACTCAAGTGTAAATAAAATACGTACCATGTTGTCGTGAAGAAATTGTCTAGTAAACCCACATGTGGAGACAACTGTAATATGTTGTTTGTGTGTCGCATGTGTGTGTATTGTTAGGAATTGAATACGTAGTGGTTAAGTTTCAACAACGTGGGGTCAAAGCATTGTTTTAGAAACACGCAAGCAATCCATTGTTAAAGGGAATGGTGGGTACAAAATGTGTATCAGAATGTCGCATTGCGGCATATCACCTAGGTAATCTTAAATCCTTAATTGACCAGATTAATTCAATCATTGAAAAAAGGTACTATTTGCAACACGGATGGATAAAACTATGATTACTGTGCGTTGGTTTTGACCTATATTGAAACGGCTGATTGCATAGTGGAAGTAAATCGTAGTTTTCTGGCGATTTTTTTCATTTTAATTGGTTATGTGATAAATAGAATCTTACACTCGTGTCAATGTATTATGGAACTCGTTTAATAAATTCCATAATACATTCACATTCATGTAAGATCCTCTATATATAATTATCACGAGTCAATAATGTGCTCAAAATGTATCTGATGATGGATATGCTGATACCAAGTAATGCATCTCAAAATGTATCTGATGATGGATATGCTGATACCAAGTAATGCATCTCAAAATGTATCTGATGATGGATATGCTGATACCAAGTAATGCATCTCAAAATGTATCTGATGATGGATATGCTGATACCAAGTAAAAACCAAAGTTACGTTTTTACAATGACGCTAAAGATGAATAGTCAAAAGTCTCGAAACACAAAGGAAGTGAATAATTTTAAAATATTAAACAGATACTAAAAATATACAAGGTTTAATTAACTTGCGACATCATCTTTGAAATGCATTACCAAATGCAACGAATACCCTAAATCGTTGTTCTTATCGATAAGCGTTCTAATGTCTGTTTTTTATGTGTCGTTTATTGTCACATCCTAATGGTTACATACACAAGTTCTATATCATATAAAAATTTTGTTATTATAAGTTGAAGTTTTATTTTAGACCACTGTCTATCAGTCTCAGATGACCTAATTCTTTGTTACTGATGAAACCTAATAATACCATATCTTATCTAGAGATTAAAGTTTTAACATGTATATCAAATTTCATGTCCGTGTGCAAGTATTGGGCAACAAAACCAACATCTATTTCAAATTATTGTTTCTTTTTAATGTCGCCTGGGCTTTGATCTAATCGGTAATGCAGTTTTACTATAAAATAACGACAACGTAACTATCCGTTATGAATTACACAAATCTCTGCTAATGATACAGTCACGTGCCAAAAGTTTTTACTATATATTCGTATATTTCTTCTTTTTCCATGAATTATCTTTTTCGTTTAAGGTTGGATTTTGACAATATATTGTCATGTTGTACTATGATAGCCATAGTTTGTTCTGATTACATTCATTTCGTTGTGTATATCAGGATAATACAAAAAGTCAAACACAGCGCTATTTTCCGTCTGACGTTTTTTTTCAAATACTGTTACCAAAATGGCGCGCCGATAATCACAAGTTGTTAACAAATGATGATTTCAATGGTCATACACAATGGAAATGTTGAGATGAAGCAGAAAATAATTCTACATACGTGTATGAAAAATTAAGTCAGGAAAAAACACTGAAATGAGTTAGAAAATGCAAAGAGTAGAGAGTAAAATAAACAAAAACAAAACCCCTCCATCAAAGGGAAAGACTCGGGAAGGAAGTCGCCAAAAGACCAAGGAAGGTGAAGGTGATGTGTGATACCATATGATATACTACCAAGCCTACAATCCGTCGTGTGGTTCACCGAGGTGGTTTCAAACGTATTGAGCCCTTAAAGTTTTCCCTTGATAATGTCATCCGAGGTGCCGTCACATACACTGAGCATGAGGAAGATTGCCACACGCTCTGAAGAGATAATGGCGTACATTGTACAGATTTGAAGGATAAGCCTTATTTCCTATCTTGTCAACAAACAAACACAAACAGCTCTTTTCAGGGTCATCAAAGTTCTCCAAAAACTTCAATTGACCCACGAAAATTCGCAGAAGTACAGTGTCGAGTTATTACGATAAAACACAACACGGGCACAATTTCAATAGCACTATAGAAACTTAAATCTCTTTTCATTCTCTTCATAATAATACGCAATATGTTTTATCTAC